ATTTTGTTAGAGTTAGGATGTTCAAAGACGCTCATGAACTAAGTCGATTCCATTTAAATTGAGCGATAGTAGAATCTTCTAGAACTGTTGTTTCTATACTGTTGTTGGGCTGCAATTTGAACCCGTTGTCGATCTATAAATGCCCTCTGTCTGGCTTTCCTTAATCTCGAGAACGCAATTAGGTAAATGAAAGTCGAGATCAGATATGAAAAGATTAGGAGTTGATTTCATCGGAAAGTTCATATATAGTTAATCGAGGCCTCCTCCTTCGATTAACTATATATGAACTTTCGATGCAAGGCGGAAGTCACCTTATTTCCATTCAAAACATTTCCCCCGAAAGGAGTTAAATAGATGGCAGGCACGACTCTATTGCTGACAGGAAAAGTATGATGTATGGGGACGAGACACTACAGTAGTAATTTGAGGTGGACAGCATATATTTTAAATTAAATAAATTAAAAATATGATTAAAAATTGCCGTCCGGCATTGTGACCATATCACAATAAATCGTTAGTTTTTTAATTGCAACTTTAAGAATTTTGAAAATAAATGGCTTTTAAAGAAATAATATGGTTTTCTTCGTTTCTGGGCGGATGATTTAAATATTTCGTCCGCAAGAACTTACGATATTTCACACGAACAAAACTTACAGGTTTTTCATGTTTTTGCTTAACACGAGAAACACGCAAACTTTAATTAAAATCACGAAACGTCATCAGCATTAAAATCTAATAACTTTTCAAGATTAACATTACCGCGATTTAAACACTTATTTTGATTTAATAAAAATACGTAATAGAGACTTAAAATGTCTTCACTTGTCGCCATGTCCAATCACCAGAAACAACTTTTCATTAAATTGTAAATTCGTCAGCCCCTTCTTTCAAAAGACTTATTTGATTTGTACATGAAAAACGTTAAAGTATAAAACCTTTTTTCTATTCTGCCAGCGACTACAACGGGTAGGCTAGATATTTATTGGTCAAAAGTACTTGGCTATTGTAACTCGATTACACAATAAATACCACAATGAATATTTTTTATTGAGTGCAATACGGTTGGACATACACGCACTGTATGCTAATCCTGCGGCAGACTTTTCTTTTCTTAACTAATTTGATGGGCGTCGTTTAACGGTTCGGTTGAAATTCGTTAAGTATTTTCGATCGCATGCTGTCTTTCGTTGTGCAAAGGATTTCGTGCAATGCAAGTGTCAGTATCGCACCTCTGTCGTGCGAGCGCTGTGACCGTTTCCGATAAAAACACAGTAGTTCGCTTGAAACGAATTAATGATTCGATTATTTACACACCGATCACGGACAACCATCGACAATTTACGATCCGTTTGCTTTCCATACGACGAAACGAAACACGTTTCTTAAATTCTTTTTCATCACGTCCACCGACCGCAACCGTCATTCTCTTCGCGACAGATTTCTGGCAACATCTACGCTTTTTAACGAGAAAGTGTAGACGGAGAGATTTCCATTATTGGCAACAACAGATGCGGCAATATCTTTACGCGATAGTCGATAAGGCAATCCATTAAGGTGATATGCGACATGTCAGTCTGCGTGAGGTCCCATGGTGTAATGGTTAGCACTCTGGACTCTGAATCCAGTGATCTGAGTTCAAATCTCGGTGGGGCCTTTTTTTCTTCTTCTCCCCTGTCATCGTTTATGCAATTGACAGCGACAGTAGAATTCTTTTGCTTTGGATTTAGAACAGAAACTCTGCTTCACACACGTGCGGCAAAGCAGAGTTTCTGTTCACGCTTTGCAACGTTTCGATACGTTTACTCTACTTTTCCGATGCTTTCAAAACGGAATTCAACATGTTGCAAAGTTCTGATCCAATTAGTATCACCGTTTTTTGAATCAAAAGAATTACAAAATGCCTTCCAGACGCTTACGTCACACTAAAATAGACATTTTCAATCAACCACTCATAAGAAAACTTCGTGTCAGGAGTGGGATTTGAACCCACGCCCACTATCGTAGACCAGAATGCACACTCCCGCATTCACAGGAAGAGTCTACCTTGAGTCTGGCGCCTTAGACCGCTCGGCCATCCTGACGTTATTCTGCAATTACGATTGATGCCTAATCAATGGTGAATATTCACTTCTCGTTATGTTCAAGCAGTTTTACGACAGGCCGACGTTTTACTAACTAAACGATGATTCAATCGCAATTGTTTAATTTACGAAATTTCGAAAGAAGTTATGACATGTTTTGTCTCTTACAAGAAGTGAAATTTCCCCAGACTGAGTGATGACGTCGACGTTAAATTACGAGTCGTTTTTCCATTTTGACACCAGACTATTGGAATTAGGGGCGGGAGGTCCCGATTAACTATACGTCAACTTCTAATGCAAGACAGAAGTCACTTTATTTTAATTCAAACCGTTAAATAGAGGACAGGGCCGAATCTGTTGCTAACAGGAAAAGTGTGGTGTACGGGGGCGAGGCAGTACATTACTAATTTGAGCTTGAGAGCATATATTTTAAATTAAATAAATTTAAGATATGGTGAAAAATTGCTTGGTGTATGTGTAAATTTACATTTTTATTTTCAGTTGTTAAATATTATAAAGATTTGAGAACTTAGGAACAATTTTAAAAAGTTGTTAAAAAACTGAATTGTGTTTTTTCCTTTCTTTTCTTTGTTTTCTTTCTTTCTTTCTTTGTTATTTGTTTGTGTTTTATATATGTATTTTCTACAGTTGGAAAAGGCCAGTGGCCATAGGGCCATAGTGTCGTTTACTTTAAAAACGAAAACGATCGTGGATTGTTTTCATGTTAGAATTATAAATATGGAATTTTGTAATGTATATTATTAATTATTCAATATTTATTAAAGATTTCTTTGTGAAAATGATATATTTGTTGACGAATAAGTATTACGAAAGTTTGATAAGTGGGTTTTCCTTACGGGCTAGTAAAAGAACGAGGACGTCCGATTTCGGAAAGGAAGATTTTATTTAATTAAATAAAATTTTACATTAACAGTTCATTGTTTATCTCAATCGAAGGAGACGATAAGCAATCATAATCTTAAACGGAGTACGATTAAAATAGGAATTCAATATCAAAGCGTCAAGATGCTGCATATTAATTAAGAATGTTATATTTTTCGCTCTAATTTTTCTTATTTCTAATGCAATCATATTGGGTGAAAGATTGAGCATGTTTTGGGGAGAAGTCGAGAAATATCAAAATGGAAAAAACGATATCGTTTTTCTCTTACTTGTTAGACGAATCTAGTAGTATTAGTATACAACCTATTCAAAAATTATTATTGTTGGTCGAACTATTAGCACGGATATTAACAATTTTCCTTTCGGGAAATCTCCCCGCAATTGTTACGTTTTCGAGTGGTCATGTAGTTCATTTAAATCCAATTTCGGAAGTTAGAGAAGTTAACATGTGTTCGTTTTTTGCCAATTATACGGAATGTCCCCTATGCGAGTGGAGACACAAATACTGCAGGAGGCTTATCGGTAGCGGGAGAAATACAGTACTGTACTACAAGTCAAAACGGAGTGATAGCGATAATAAGTGTTTTTAATTATAATTAAACCCAATTTGAAATAAATTAGAATCATCTATATATATATATAAAAGTCAAAATATTATAAGACTTGAGACCATTATTTTATTTATAACACTATCCGTTACTCCGTAACAATATAAATCATTTAACTCCGACATATAAAATGCATTTCGGCACCTTTTACTGTGCTCTCTTCAGTTAGATTTCTTATTGGATTTTTTACAAACAATATCCAGACTTAATACAATATTCTCAATACAATATTATAAAAATTTTCCTATCAATTTCTTAACTATACCACATAAAATACCTCCTGGGAGGCGTTCTCCCTCTACAGATAGCCAATTTGGTTGCGTTGTTGTGTACGAATAAAACAAACCCAACTCCCAAACACCCCTAAAATCCACTTCCTGTTAACTTTACTTCGAGCATATTTTGTATTTTGTAGTTTCATTATTGTAAACATCGAGTCAATAAATACACATTTCGGTTACTAAAGCATTGTTTTTATCATCCTCTCCCGACGCAACTTCACAAATTCCCACTCCTCAAAAGCTCTAGCAACCCCGGACATTTAGCTAGTTTTTGTTTTAAGACCCAAAGTGCAAGTCACACGATTTTTTGTGCTTAATTAAAACTTAAATTACATAAATTAGTTTTCACAGTATAATACCGTATTATTTACATATAATATTGTATAATATTATTTAAAACGTTACGGCTTATGTTTAAATCATTTTGTTATTCCAGAGAATTTGTAACCTAGTCACTTTTTTTACTATTTTATTGTAAAACTGAAATGAGTTTCTTCAAGTCTTGAAGGAATTAATTCATTACAAAAAGTGTTTTTTTCTTTCCTAAAACGTTTGTTTTTTTTTTCTTTTTGCATTGCACGCTTAATTTTGTTTGTTTTGGTAATGGGTGAGTATTGTGGGTGTGAGTCACCTTACGCAAAGTATTATTTTTAAACTTTTTTCGACCCTAAAGACGATAGCCGCTTCCTCTCAACATGTGTTTTTTTATAATTCCAGAGGATTTTCGTATTCAGCACCCCTGAAATAGTAATATTCATTTACTTTGGTTTTTGGCTGTAGACCCGTTTTATCAGAACGAATCGCTCCTATCTACTAATATACTAAACAAATATACCATATTGTAATTACATTGAATCACTCTTAATCGAATATAAGTTATTTTATAATATCGCTATTTGTAATTAAAAATTCTTTATAATAGAAGAAACAGTCAAAAAAAGGGAAAAACTAAAAGAAAGTCTTCATTTTTCCTTCTTTTTTGAGTGTTTTTCTATTATACAGAATTTTTAACCGTTTTTATTCATCCTTGGATTTTTATCAGCTGAAGTTCAAAAAACGAGGATTTTTAAAATATAGTTTACAAAAATCTCTATTAAAAATTTAATTCAAAATTTTTATCTATTATTTTATTACTTGTTTATATTTTTAATATATTCTTCGTATTTTCATATCTACTTCGGGTAATGAATAATTAGAATTTTTCCAAGTCACCCACTCGATTCCATCAGCGTATGTAGAATGAGATCCGTTCAAATAAAGTCCATTTAAATTCGATCCATGGCATTTAGAATACCACCAACCGCCTTTAAATACTTCCGCACAATTTTTATACCAGATATCATTATCCTTATCTTTTGTAGTAAATTTCATGCCATTCAGATTACTGAAGGAGTCACCTAAAAGCAACATTTAATTTACATAATTAAATAAGCTTAATTTAAATAACATTGCAAAATATATGTAGATTACTCTAGAATAAATAATTATATTATTCTTAAATTTTGTACATAAAAAAAAATCTAATTTTTAAATACGAAGCGTTGTTAGAAATATGAATAATAATAATAATAACTTTATTATATTGCCAAGAAAAATTATGAAAAAAAATATATAATTTTTAAACGATTTTATTTAATTTTGTATCATTCTTAAATCTTTTAACTCAAATTTCATCCATCTCTAATTAAGATAGAAGTCTGAAACTTTGAGGACACAAAAGCCCGATGACAACACATTTTAATGTTTTAGAGGGGTGGCCCACTCCTACCAATCAGGAAAACAACCAATAAAAGAGTTTTTTGTAAATTTATTACAAAAATTATGATATACAAATTTTAAAAAAAATCAATTAATAATATCCTATAAATACTTTAAAATTAATTTTAAATCTATATATCTCTTTATACTTTATAGATTAAAATTTATTTTGTGATTTAAATTTACATGAGTTGAAGTTGGCAAGTGTCATACGAACTGCATGTGTTTATTACTTGCATTCCTTTGATACGCATTAAAATCATTTAAATATAGCATTTCAACGAAATAACAAAGACATTCCAGGAGAATTAATTTAATTTTGTAATTTTTGTATGATCACGCTTAATATACTATGTTTATAATTTTTTTTTTACAATAATTTTATATACATACTACTAGAATCATTAGAATTTTCTCTTTAAATAATAGCTTTAAGAAAAGTGATGAAAAATTAGAGATGAATTTTTAAATTTTGTTATTTATTTATGCTCTTATGTGTTTAGTTTATTTCATATTTAGATAAAAATAACATAACATTTATATTATAAACGAAAATATTTCATTTTATTATAATAAAAGTTTTTACCTGCATTTCCTTCAAAACCAGAAACATGCAATTTATACTGTTGTCTTTCATTTTCGATCCAGAATTCTTTATAAAATGCATATCTTTTATTTCCTTCTAAGTCTTTCATATCGATTCTTAGAGAATAGTTTGCTTGATTTGTCAAAGCAAATATTTTATCATTACCTAGACATGTTAAATAAACGTTTAACTATTAAACTTTAACATTTAAGGTTATCGAATTAAATATTTGTTCATACTTCATTACATAAAACTAATTTCAGATTACTTACCTAGCCAAAAGTCTTCATTTAATTTACCAAATCCCAATGAATATTGCTCCCAGTCTTTAAAGAAATAATCTTTAGGTTGTTTATAATCCCCTCTTCTTTGGAAAACCTAAAATATCATTTATCATTTAATTTTAAATATATTTTAGATGTTTAATTTAAAAAAAAATTGAAAAAATTAATAATTACCGTCCACCCTCCTCCATCTATTTCCATATCGCAATAAACAAGAAAACTTCCAACAGTTACCCAATTTAAAGGCCATATTCTATAAATACCAGATTTATTATTGCCATTAGATTGAACGTGTTTGCAGTCTATTGGACCAGGATATGGTTCCTTACTTTTTTCCACGTATTCTATAACTGTTCATTGATAAAGATACATTTTACATAATTCTAATCCTAATTTTATAATTAAATGTATTACCTTTTTGAAGTAAATTGTCAATAATTTGTAAATTAGAAGTAACTTCAGAAATGGGAAAATGAGAACTGACATGATATGAACAAACAGACAAAATAATGATTAACGAAAAACGTGGAACCAATTGTATCTTCATTTTGTGAACTGTATACTGTATATTAAACTTAACAATCACCTTTATATAAGTATAAATGTATTTGATTTTGTTTATATTAAAGTTTATTGCTCTTCTCAGAATATATTATATGTCTGATAATTTTTATTATTTCATTGCAATATTGTGTTGCAACTGAGAAACAAAGACGTCTTTAAGATCTGCCAGTTCCAATTTTAACTTTATAATTTTAATTGGATATTTTTCTGTGTTTTTTTAAAGGAACGTTTTTAAACTCGAAGACCAAAAAGAAAGATTAGGTCGTCAATTGTTTGTATTCTGGAACACAAGAAGTGAATAAATGGTGGTTACCAATTTTGGACAGTCTACGTCTTCAAATTAGTTTTAGTAAAATTGCCATTCGACGAAATTCTACAACTGTATATACCTACTCGAACTGTATTCCTGATAACCGTTCACAACCACCAGAGAATGAAGATAATTAATTGGTGAAAGGCAAAAAATAATTGGGCAAAACAATTTTTACTCAACAGACTTGTTTGATTGATTGATTTTTTTTAACTAGAGATAACTTACATACAAGAAAGACATTGGCTGTACACGAAGTGTTTAACCGGCAGAAAAAAGGGTAAGGGAAAGGGGAGAGGAAAAAGGAGGGAGAGGAGATAGACAGTAGAGAAAGGTAGGATTCCTCTAAACGGCGTACATATGGCTACAGTACCCTCTGTATTTGATGTTGGCATGTAGTTTTTAGGCTGCAAGGCCATAGTTCCCGAAAGGTCTATAACTACCATACTCGACCTTTTCTTTTCTCGGGCCACATACACATGATAGCTATTACACGCGGGCTGCAATATAACTATTATAATAAAAAATGTACGTAGTTTTTCATTCACCCTAGAAAATTAGTGTGACTGTTGATATTGCAAACAATATTTCACAATTTCATTTAAATCAGGCTTGTAACTGCTGCATGCTACTCGTAAAACGGCATCCGGGTGTGAATCAGTAAGCCGGTGTTTCTATGTTCTTTGCATATTTCATTTTTGAGCAGTGGCGTGCCGTGACATTTGATGATAGGGAAGCTGCGTTTCTATAAGAAGCCGACTTCCAGGGGCAATCAGTCAGCGATGGTCTAGGATCCATTCATATTCGTTTGTTCGATAAGCCAGTAAAAACCGTAGACTTCTCTAAATGTATTTTTAATTAATAGATTATCTAACGCAAGTTCAATATAATTACCTCTGTTATATTAGATTCAATAGATTCCCTATGCCCTCTAAATGCCAATTCTTGCTTCGATAACATCTACTAATTTAGATATAATACATCTATTAGCCGTAACTTTGTTATAATTTTCAATATTTATTTTATATTGTTTACTAATGTTAAATTCTAGTCTATTTTGATTTCCAAATTGCTTCAATTTTACGAATGAATCGATGGAGATTTACGATTTTCGTGTTTTTTGCTGTCTCTGTCTTTATTTAGATCGTCAAAGCCATTCTTATTTCACACACTAATTTCATTTGAAAATAGTAGGCAAGGCCAACAAAACAATTTTTGCATTTTTATGCATCCACAAAGCCATTTTATATCTTCATAAATTTTATTGTGAAAATATCGAACATAGTTTTTTGTTGACGTATTTATATTTAATTTAGGCAATGGTCTTTCTCTTTTAATAATGTTTTATTTTTCATTATAAGGTCTCGAGCCAAAACTTTTTTGAAATAAATTTTCAATATCGCAATTACATTCTAAATTGCTATCCATAATATAAGGGCTAAAATTAAAAATAAAATTATAAAGGCTTACTTGTTAAAATAAAATGGGTGATGGATATACAATTATACATACCGGGTACAAAATATTCAATTGTATGAATATATTCCTTTTAAAAATCAATTTTTCAAAAAAATATTTCCTCAAAAATTGATTAAATGAAACTTTATGGGTTAAGATATAGCAATTTTACGAGCAAGCTCGGGCAAGCTTTGTTCCTGAATGTAAATTCCATTGCGCTTTATAAAAGTTCGATAATAGATTCAGTAACAACAGAGTATTAAATTCTCAAATGAATATAGTCAATTACAAAGCCAGTTTCTTATGAACTCGTAGTACAAAATGGACAATACAATTGGTAATACTCACTTACTAACTTAAAATTTGTTCGTTATTGAACAAGAATAAAATGTATTGGGCCATCAAGAAAGTATTTTCGTTTTTTAATTGTCAATTTTAAAACATAACTCCACTATCAAGAACGTATTTAATCGAAACAAGAACTATTGTGTTCAACACACTTGCTTTTATATACCAGATACAGTATATTAAAATGTAGTGTTAGATACCAGAAACTCGTACAAGAGGGTTTTTTCCTTCTCTCAAGAAGACGCCTAGAGATCGGAAAGATCGGACGAATATGGGAAATGAGGCAAACTTCGATTTCAACTCGTGCATTGCTTTCCTTCAGACGTGTGGTCTGACATTCGAGAAGGGGCGACCGGGTAGTGAGGGACGGGGCCCGATATATCCGGACAGACCCATCGAAAAATTGCTGAGGATTTTTCGACCAGTTCGGATTCGATCTTGGGTCCCCCAGAGCGGTAGGCTACCATCTTGCCCACTCGGCTATCCGGCCATTCTAGAAAGGGATCGTGCGCCAATACTGTACAACCGAAAATACTTTATTGATGATTCAATATTTATTTAAATAAAGGGAAAAGAAATAGAAAGAAAATTCACCGAGTAGTAATATATATATATATATAACAGATTATAATCTTATTTTGTTCCAATTACTGTATATGAATTAATTCAAATATTTTAAATTAAATTATAAAAATTGCATTTAAATGGTTATAAATAATTTATGTTCCTATTTTGTTATTTTCCCTTAGAAAACAAATTATAATTACACATAGCTTTGTAAAGAAACGTACATAAAAATAACATAAAATATTCTTTACTTTTTAAATCTTAAAACCATCCACTTAGTCAAATAGCTCCCCACGGATGGAATCATTATGGTGTGTAGCACCCAGCAGCTAAACCGCCATAGTTTGGTGCTCTGTAAAGCGTGAGCGAATGCTTGTAATCTGGCTACTTTACATGATTCAGATATTTTCGCAGTGGAAACTAATGGAAGCGCCGTATTCGACAATACGGCGCTTCCATTGGAAATATGCATATACGAATTTATATTCGAATATACAATTTTATCATTGTTTTTCACGTGTATAGAAATTTATAATAAAATACATAATGCGGTTATAATAAAATATTAATTTTAAATAATTCAAAGTACATTAAAATATGAAAATAATTGCATAATATGTATTTATATTTTAGAAATTACAAGAAAAGCGGCATTTCCACAGCTTCCATGGACTGCAAGCCACTGGTAAGGTCAGAGGCAAAAAGAATTAGAATTATTTACTGGATTGTCAAGGTTTTGATTGGTGTACAGTACTTAGTTAATGCCACAAACTCCAGCAAATTTAATAAGTGCAAGAGTAATATTATTTAATTAATAACACACAAATAAAAACTGTCCTTTATTTAAATACGTTATTTACAATTGACTTTCGGTAGTGTCTTGTACAATTTTATGTAGATATTTAACTTTCATTTCATTTACCATTTTCAACCATTCATTTTTAATGACTACATCTTCAGGTCCCCAGTCTGATGTTGGATATATGGCTTGATGAAGGTTCTATACGAAAAACAAATATATAAATTAATATATGTAATCAATGAATTACTAATATTTTAAATGTAAAAATTTATATTTAAGAATTCTTTATATATCAATAATATTTTTCATTCATTATCAGATTCTATTCAGACTTGTTTTTTTTTCTTTTTTTAATAAACTATGAACACTGAAAGAAAAAAAATCAAAAATAATATAATTAATTGTAATTCAAACTGTGTTTCTCAGAGGAAGAGTTTTTAAAACACTACTTTATTTAAACAACAGCATTTTTATTTTTTGTTCTCAATTATTTTTTTATACAAATATATATACAGTATACAGTATATTCATATTATATTTATATCATTTACGTCAAAACAATTTTAAACTATATATAGTTTAAATCTGTTTTGATATGAAAGATTCATATTAAATAGAATATAAACCCAACAACAAGCATTTAAGAAATTATAGGAGTCAAAAGGATATTGACTCCTATAATCGTATGGATAAAATGTAAGAATAAATGTATGGATAAAATATTTTTTGACATCTGTAGTCTCCAGTTGTGGATCTAAAGTATGTTTTATCCATAAATACACTTCATTCCTTTAATCTTTCAAGTGCTTATTTTTGGGTTTATATTCTCTCATTTAAATTATAGGAAAAGTTGCAAATTGCAAAATTATAAATTGCAACAAAGATATGAGACACTAAAGTTTTTTATTTTTGTCATTCGAATATTTTTCTTCTTTTTTTTTAACATTTTGTATCACTAAATTGATTAGAGAGGTTGAGGCACAAGTCCAAACGTTAAACGTGTACGGGTAGCAGAAGTACACGTTACATGTTTCAAGTCCAAGTAAAAATCGTTGAGGCACACGTTCATAACATCACGTGACTCAGTGAACATCGCGCATTGACTCACGGGAAATAAGTTGAAAAAAATGGCGGAAGCAAAATAAATCATAATTTTAACCCCAAACACAAAAAATGAAGACGTTTAAGCCGATCGTGTACTCACCAAGCTACACGTAGCAAACGCCATTATCGACGGTCCAGAACTGCCAGATGGCGGCGCTCACCCTTTACCCGTATACGTTTTGGGCTAAATACGTGCGCCTCAACCTCTCTATTTACTTTTCCCTCTTTATACATATTGCAAAAGTTTGTCTTCAATTGAAACTGGGATTTTCACCTTGTTAAACTGTGCATCTCTTGTGGTCTCTTATGGATTTGGTCTCATATCTATGTTGCAATTTATAATAATTTTTTATATGAGAAATACTGGGTTTGGAATACCATAGCTTTTAGCATTTTAATAAAACTGGAAAATGCATAATTTCTTATGTTGAATTATTGTAATACAGTTGAAGTTGTCTATCTCAAACCTGTTTATTTCTAAATTTATTTCCCCCTCATTTTCAGCCTAAATTCAATATATTTTCCATGTTTATCTCAAATAATTTTCTCCCAAACCCTCTATATCTCAAATTATGGACTGAAGTGTCAAAGCTCAGCAACTATATTTTGAGAGCATAAATTACAGTTGATAAACAACCCTTGCAATACAGTGCATAGTTACAATTAATCAGTAGTCAACTGACTACGAGTTTGGTTTGTCTTATTCAGAGCCGCCCCTAGAGCCGGGCAACTGGGGCAACCGCCCCAGGCCCCACGCTTAAGAGGATACAGCATGATAATGCTTTATAATTAAAATGTAACAATTTGTATTTCAACGTAAAACTTAATTTTAAAGTATAATTGTAAGGTACACTGGAAAAATCTTATGAATCTTCACTTCTTGATACAACTTTGCTACTAATTGATTTTACGATCTACAAAAAGAATAACTGTTTAATGTATAAATTCAAATATATTTATGTTTGTTAGTGTTCTATTAGTAGTTTTCTTTTATAAAAAAATAATTACCTTAAAAATAATAAAAATAATAATAAAGAAAAAAATAGTTTTTATAATATAAATTGTAAGTTGGCTGTATGTAACTTACAACAAAACTAGGCGCCAAGTCAGTGTAGTTGTAATTAGCATTGCATAGAATATTTATATACTTGAGCATATTGTAAGCTTATAAATGTTTCAATTGAACAAATTTATGCTGCTTAATGGTACTAAATAGAATTATTGATAATTTCGACATTCGATGCAAGAATGGCAGAACATAGGCTATAAGACGTATCAAAGATAAAGAAACAAACGATCATTATTTAGGTTGGAAAAATCAAACAAAGTTAAAAATGAAATAATAATAAAAAAGTGAATACAGTCGACCCCCCTATAACACAGTAGATACGTTCCGTTCTTTATGAATCGATTTCTTACGAGTCATTGCCAATCACAGCCCGACACGTGTGAAGTTTACGGACTACAGCTGTTTGAAAGGTTTTCTTCCATAAAATTAATCGATTCTAGACTAATTCGACTCAACACTTCCAAAATACGTATATTTTTTTTGGGGGGGAATAATCCATATAAACTACGCTATAAACAAAAAATTGTTGGATTACTTACCATTCGACGTCGCCATTGCTCAAGTTGTTTTCGTTGCGGAGCAGCGCACCAAACCGCGGCCGCGATTTCTGATAACTTATTTTTTTGCGAAAACTTCGTTGAACTTTGGAGACATCATTAATATAAATAATTTTTATGGCCGTTGAATAAGAAATGTTTTTTTCACAAGAAATGTATAAAATTACAGTACTGTATTAGACTTACGGTACCTAATTTACATACTGTACAGACGATAGTAAACAACTTACCTAACTCTCCATAGAGTGGCGCTGGACAGCGGATAGTAGTTCGGCTGCCCGATGACGTTTTATCGAATTATAGGAGTTTTTTTTACCAGGTTTGTACGGATACCGTCGCAATTTTTTCGCCGTCTTATAGGAATCGTAATTATAGGAACCCGTGTTATAGGGGGTCTACTGTATTATGCAGTACATTTAGACTGTACTACCGATAAAAGTCGTATTGAACAATTAACTCTGATTGTTCGAATTGTAGAAATGCCTAACGAATAAGAACGAAACGAAGTTGAAATTAATGATTATTTTATTGATTTTTCTCCTATGCCGAAAAGTACAGGGCTTGATTTATCAGAAAAATTATGTAACAACTTAAAACTTGAAATATTTCTTTGAACGAACGCCGTGGACAAGCTTATGACAATGGGGCTAACATGGTAGGCAAGAGAAAAGACGTGCAAACAAGGATTTTGGAAAAAAATCCGACAGCATTTTTTGTGTCATGTTCTGCGCACAATTTAAATTTATTAAATGTTTTTAAATTTAAAAAAAAAATTTTAAGTGTATTAAATTTAGGTTCTGTTGATGCTGTTGAAATCGATTTCAACAGCATCAACAGAACGAAGTTTTTCTAAATTAAAACCAATTAAAAACTAGCGAGGTTGCGGCTGAAGTTTTCAACGCAAAAACGCCTGCGTCGGATGTTCAGCGCCGCCTTCCTGTAAGCCTAGAAGTTTGACAATGGCGTTTGGAACATCAGTGGTGCCATGCTCGACGTTCCAAACGCTATTGTCAAACTTCTAGGCTTACAGAAAGACGGCGCTGAACGTCCGACGTACGCGTTTTTGCGTTGAAAACTTTGGCCGCAACCTCACTATTATTTACGGACAACGATTAACAAATCTGACACTTTTATCTATTGAGCACGAAACATGTGAAAAATTAAATTGTGATGTTTTAATGAAAGATTTTGCTGAAATAAATACCCGCAAANTCTATTAATAATAAAAATGTGATGATTTGATAAAAATAAAATAAATAAAAACAAACATGCTTTGTACAATCTTAAAAAAAAAAATATTTTTTACACTTTGTTTTATATTTCCGCAATTTTGTTTAAATAAATTTTTGAAAGTTAACGTTAATTATTTTACTTATTAGTTTTTTTTTTTAAATTAATACTTAGTTTATTTTTTGAAAGGGCCCCGCAATTTCAGATTTGCCCCGGGCCCCGCAAAAGCTAGGGGTGGTCCTGGTCTTATTAGTTGAAGCAAGTCAGGCATCAAAAACTATTGACAAACATTTCTGTTAAGGTATGTCAAAAATGTTTTATATATATACCTAATATAGGTGTTTACTAGCTATTGTATTAATAAAATCACCTCCAATCAAACCTATTACTGATTACCTCTATATTTCGAAACCTGTTTATCTCAAATTTTTTTCTCATTCCCATGAGATTAGAGATAGACAGGTTCAACTGTATATACTGATAAATTAGCATAACATATAAAAACAACTACAGTACAAAAATAAAAATTTAAAACATGGAGTCAGCTTTAAACAAAAATGGAAACTTAACTAATATACATACCTGAGCTGGAAAGAAAGTAGCGGCAACATATCCATATATAACAAACTATTTATTATAGAAACGAAATAGCATTAGATTCGATCAATATAATCCCCCTACTAAATTTATCATCATCTGTCACACATGTAGAAGGCTCTGCACACCAGTAACACTGCTGTGTTGGTTTATGTCTTCGAACAAGTGCCCTACTGCTCAAAGAATGGCATCTCTTATGTGAAAACGTTTTCCTCTCAGGGTTCCTTTACTTTGTGGTAGAGATCGAAGTCACAGGGGCCCATACCGGATGAATTTGGAGGATGTTCCATTATTTCTCACCCACACTATCCTAACAACTACAACACAGGAGCAGCAGTATGACAAGTGAGCTTTGTCAAGCAAGAAAATGGGAGCACATATTTGGAAATGCTGCTATTTCCTCCTCACCACAGGATGATGTTCCAGATATCTACGATAGTATGCAGCATTCACAGTCTGGCCTTGAGAAACTGCATGACAGAGAATCATACACCACTATCAAATCACTATCACATTTCCAAATTCTTGGCACAGTTTTTTTAGGGTGAGGAATGATGGGTGATAGATACCATTCATTGGACTGGTGTTTCAGTTTTGGCTTGTAAGATCACATCCACGTTTTATTCAATACAATGATCAAACTTAGAAAACATCACTTTAGGGCAGTCCAATTTGATACCACCAAGTAACTGCTTCGTACTCGTCGATCTACATTCTCTGCACAAGCTCTGCTTTTCCCTCTATATTCCAGAAATCAACAGTGCCCCACTTGTTCCTAAGGAGCATGGTGACATGTTGTCACTACGTTCCTTCCAACACTCATATATTAAAATTTTAGAAATAAATATATTATTCAATAATAGTTAATGTCAACTGACCATTTTATAATAGTTTTGTGATTGATCACATGCAGGAATTTATGCAAGTATTCATAAATTAAATAACAATAAACAGTGAAAATAAATTATAGGTAACTCTCAGTATTCACGTATTTGGTATTTGCACTTTTGCTTATTTGCAATTAAAAAATTGTGACCAACCATATGACTATTCAGAAATATTTGCATATTTGCAAATTGATTTACAATATTTCCACTACAATATAGTACTTGTAAAAAATGTACTTTCTGTTATCTACAATTTTTACATTTTTTGACATAATCAAGCAAAGTACAGTAACTACTTTACTATTGAACTGAAGTCACTGCATTACAACAACAATGCCTTTTGTTAAATTGTGCATGACAAAATTTATGTCACAATTATGTAAATAGTGTATATACAGTCGAGCCCCCTATAACACTTGATAATTCCGTTTTATATGAATTCCATGTTGTACGAGTCACTTAGATTTTACAAATATGTGTGCAGGGCTGTGAACAGCTGACTTATTTGTAAAATCTAAGTGACTCGTACAACATGGAATTCATATAAAATGGAATTATCAACAGTGTTATAGGGAGTCGACTGTACAGTAAATAGACAGTTCCTTACAATAAGAATAATTAGTGATCTAATGTAATAATATAAAAGATGGCAAAGTAGACAGTGGGAGGTTTGAGAAACGTAGATATTTGGAACATACTTTACCAGACAGCTACATAATGCAAAAATGAGGAACTAGACATGATGTTTAAGGAAAATTTTCATGGCAGCGAAGAGGGAGATGGTAAACAGAAAAAAATGCTAAAGCTGCTAATGACAACTTACAAGCTCTCAAAAATATACAGCACTATTGATAGCTTGTGCAAGGAGTTACAAGAATCTACTCCTAAATGCAATCTCAAGTTTAAACAAGCTTTGGAAACAGCCCAACTCTCATATGCCAAAGCCTGGAAGGACATGAATGAAAAAAGTCTATCAAGCAACATTAACTCAGTTTTTCCAAACTGTTGTAACTCTTCCACAATTATCTTAAAATGTAAAACTAATGTTTTTAATATAATTAAACATATCAAAAAAAATAAACATTAGTTGTTATTATTTGCTTATTGAATCATCTGCAAAACTTTAAATATTTTAAAGACAGAAACATGTTTTAGCTCAGCCACATTGGCTTGACCTGCAGGAACCTAACTCAATTTTCTCACAGGCTTTCCTATTTGACATTAGCAAGATTTCCAAGAAACCTAGCCATCATGAATACTGAGAGATACCAGTAACATATTATAAATAATTAATCATCCATTCAAATTTTTAAAATACATACATTTCTATATTTAATAAGAGTTATGACTGCCCATAAAGGTATCTGAATCATGGATGATAATGCTAAAATCCAACCAACAGTTTCAGCCCAGTCAGGATTATTTTGATCATTGTAAGCTAATCTTTCATGCGTAGAAATACCATAAATAAATATAATCTAAAAAATATAAATTTATTTATCAAAAATCTTTAAATTTATATAAATAATAAAAATTTAAAATTTCAAAAGTATTAAAATCTTAATATTAATTTACATCTTGGCTTTTATGTTATTCTTCTATATTCTACCATATGATAATTAAAAAAAAAAAAGAACTAAAACTAGCTTATCAGATTTATTTACCAATAAGTCAAAACATTTGTATTAAAAATCCTATGTTAAACATTGGAATATTTTCATTTGATTTCATGAACAAACAATTGAAATAAGGAAACATTTATTTTACTAAATTGTTATTGAACTTTATATTTTATTTAATTTACAATTAATAAAACAATTCATTATAGTGTGGCAGTTCTTTAATCCCTCTTCAGAATGTTTGTGATTTTTTTTATATACAGGAAGGCCTCGTTTAATGAATATGCAGTATTAACAATGTATTTTAGACACACCATGAGGCACTGCAACTATACTTAGTTATAGACATAACCTGCTTTTTGAATAACCTGTATATAAAAGAGGAACTTAACAATGATAATCCCCAGCAGATGAATGTATATCTTGTTGGAATCAACGATCGTGATGTTTTGTAATGTTCTGACGTAATAAAAGGTTGGTAGCGCTCTTGACCCCTCGAGCAAGGTGACCTTGTTTCACTCTCCCCTTTTCTAGCGCTGACCTTCCGGAAGTAAAGATTGTGTGTAATCTTTGTGCACTCTTTGTTCTTTTGTTACACAACCAGTTATGTTAATCCAACTGCCTTTTTACTAATCTCTCCGAAAAGCAACATCCAGTCTAACATATCTTACAGTTGTATTGACAGATCACAAATTATTCATTTCAAAAATGTTGGGATTCTATTATAATTTGCTCTAATAGTTTTTCTGCATTTGTTGAGATTTGAAAGAAGCCATTTTTTGGAATTTGAATTATCTGATAAAAAATATGAGAGTTTAATTTTTGTTTTTAATTTATTACGTTTGTTATTTTTGAAGAAATTCTTTTGAAACCAAATATTCAAACATGTAAATCTATGGTTATAAAAATTTTGTTACAATTTCTATATTTCTCTCATAAATAATGTTTATTATGGTTGAAATCATATTTAATTTATATATTTTATATAAACATAAAATTTAATAAATAATACATAATATAAATTCAATACTTACTGATAATATCACTGGTGAAATAACAAGCCAATTAGCTTTAAAATAATAATTAATTTTTATCCCTAACATCATTTCGAAATCACAGCATAAACGATTCATTCCTTAAAAATATATGCCAAAAAGTATTATTAATCAAACATTTTCAAACAGATATTTTGGAATTTAGATAAAATATATTTGTCACAAGTGAATTCTGATGATGATCTTATATTTATATAAATAAAAATGATGCTACTTTGAAAAAGAAATTATTGTTACATTTCTTATGATTTGCTGTTCAACATTAAATGGAAAGTCGTTTAAACATGAAACATGTACAGTTGTGTGTATTAAAACTAGGTTTTCATCTTTTATATTAAGATGAGAAAAACCTGCAGTTTTTCCAAATTGAAAAAAATCAATGTAACCTAATTTAACTTAACTGAAATAGAATTCATTCATAAAATTCATAAATGTGTAAAAAATATTCTAATAATTTACAATATCACAAACAAAATCAACATTTTCTAAATTGGTTATATGCAATAATTATTGTAAATTAATAAACACTGCAAACCCCTAATAAATCAGCAACAATATTTTAAACAAAGTGCCTATAGTAAATGGAATCATAATGTTTCATATTTAAGAATTCAGATATTAAAAACAGCTGTTTCTTAATATCTGAATTTTTGTAATAGCATAATTTTAAAAAGTAACAAGAAAAACATTATTTTATTTTATTTTTTATGATTTAATGTAACTATGAAGATGTATTAATATAAGTTTATTTGTTTCCATAATAGTAGTATCCTTGTTCTGTGATGAAGTTGTGGCATCCCAACTTCGCTTCTCACAGTCCATTACTTCTCATCCATACTGTTTTTAGTCAGTTTGAAGTTTGATATGCAGAATGAGAAATAGAAAGGTATGCCTGTTGCATTATCATGCAACAGGCATACCTTTCTGCTTCCTCTCTGCAATCACTATAGGAATACAAGTACTTGAGCTTTCCTTGTGTATCATCCTATACATAGTCTGAACTTAGCATCCTTTGAGTTTTGTATTTTTGATAAAAATCGTTCAAAACTAGGATTTTTTAAGAGATCCACTTAAGAAACACTTTATGTCTTATATTTCTCAGATGATGATGATGATGTCATTGACTTTTTTAAATCATTAAGTAAAGAATTTTTTCAGAAAAGAATTTTTGTCTGTTTCCTGCTGGGAAAAGTATTAAATATTTATTACAGATTATTATTTTTGTCATACAAATGACTTAAGAATATAAAATGTAACTTTTTAGAATTAAATATGCATACTTTCATTATATTTACTGTTTTAGTTACAATTGTACTTATTGCACATTGTGCTCCTTAATAATGGGTTGTTATATAGTATATATTATCTTGGTGGGCAGAGTTCCTTTCTAGGAAGATTTTCATTCATATTTTAATTTTCTTATATTATAATAAATTTTGCTTATTAATGTAAATAAGTTATTTCGCTAGCTATTTCAGAAATATTCAGAAATAAATGTGTTTGATCAGTTGGTTTTTCTTACTGTGTAATTTAAATTTTCATTTATATATAAATTAAACTCATCTTATAACAGACATTTATTATTGCTCCAAACAACCAAACACCGTTTTTTTATCAATAACATGTTGACAATTTTCTGATAAAAGGTCATACAACTTCAAATTTCTTCAAAAAATTAAAGCAACTGTGTTAAAGTTCAAGTACCTGTATTCCTGAGGTGATTTCAGAGAGGTTGTTTTTGATTTATCCTAATACTCTAATCACATCAATTAATGCATCACAGAACAAGTATATCATGATAGAAATAAGCATTACAATGTCTAGAGGGTAATTTATACAGTATTTACATTTATAAGTACAGTACTTTATAAAAAAAAATAGCACAGATTTAAAATTTAACAAACAAAAATATTTGTATTAAATTAATTTAACAATGAAACAGTTCTTTTTAAATGTTATGAAAAATATTGATTTCATTTAGAATTATTATTGTATATGATCAAAATTGAGAAAATGCAGACTGTGACTATGATATTTTGAATTATAAAAATGAATATTTTTATGTATATAATTCTGTATTTTTGAATATAGAAAAAAAGCAGCACCACACTGTATAAACATGCACATAACACATATCAATTAAACATAGCTTCAGTCTATTTTCTAATCTTTACTAATATTATATTCATACAAAACAATTTAAGTTTAGAATAAGTTAAATTCTCTAAGTATTTGGATAGTACCTCATTAGTTTACTCAGTCAACTTCACACACCAACTAACTACCTGGTTCTGTTTTGATCTTTTGCAAGACAAATAAGAAACTGAATATTATGACACCAGATAAATATTTTTTCACATGTGTGTAAATGCCCTCATATACTGACAACATAACTTTTTAAACATGTATTAACTGACAACACATGCCTTACATAATAGTTTTTTAATTACTTCATTTATGGTATTTAAATACAATGTGAATTTTAAATCACAATTAAATAAGGATCAATCTATAAGTTAAACTGAGCAAAAAAAATTGCTAGTTTTAATTTTATTCATTGGGGATGAGTTTAATTCACTGTAGGATTCAATAGCATGGGATTTAATCTTGGGGCAGCTGAGTTTAATGGATAAAAAAATTTTTAATGCCAATTCAATAAAATTCCCACCTTATGTGACTGCTAATTCATATTTAGTATACAAATAGAAGACACAACACAATGCATTTTTAATTATAAAAACACAATTTTAATTATAAAAATATTTTTGGAAAATTTTCTAGTANCTGTTGAAATCGATTTCAACAGCATCAACAGAACGAAGTTTTTCTAAATTAAAACCAATTAAAAACTAGCGAGGTTGCGGCTGAAGTTTTCAACGCAAAAACGCCTGCGTCGGATGTTCAGCGCCGCCTTCCTGTAAGCCTAGAAGTTTGACAATGGCGTTTGGAACATCAGTGGTGCCATGCTCGACGTTCCAAACGCTATTGTCAAACTTCTAGGCTTACAGAAAGACGGCGCTGAACGTCCGACGTACGCGTTTTTGCGTTGAAAACTTTGGCCGCAACCTCACTATTATTTACGGACAACGATTAACAAATCTGACACTTTTATCTATTGAGCACGAAACATGTGAAAAATTAAATTGTGATGTTTTAATGAAAGATTTTGCTGAAATAAATACCCGCAAAATTAATATTTCATAAAATAGTGCGAAAGATTCATTTAAAAAATTAAGATAAAAATAAAATAATTAATTCTAATTAGGAAAAGTTATTTTTGGAAAATTTTCTAGTTTTTTTTTTTCCTATCTTCATTGGAGGGTGCCAGGTACCTTTGGCCCTCTCTCTGGGTGTGCTACTGGTAGGATTATGTCTATATGTCTCTACTGGAGTAGTAAAGACATGTAGACAACCAAGCCTAAAATATTCTAATGATCATATTAACTATTTGGCTAAAGCTTAAAATTAATTTGTAGTGTGCCGTTACAGGTTTTTAGGCTATACATAATTTTTCTATTTATTTATTTTTGGTTGTATAGGGGGGTTGGCAGACTTTAGTGAGAGGGAAGGGGTACTTAAGGAAGCACGGATTGTCAACATAACCTTTTTCCTGCCCGAGATGAGGACCTGTCTGGTAAAGATATGGAAGACTTATTTTCTTTCTGTGAAAGTGCCCCAAAAAACCGTGTGGTACGATTGGAAGTGTATGCAGGTTTTGTATTATTGAACGGAAGGTAAAAATTTATTTGCATTAACAAAAGTACTGACTGGACATTTAGAATTTTGTGTTAGAATTAGTGAGCTACAATTAATGGACATTGTCTGAGGAGTATTTTTGTGATAGATTCATGTGCATTTTAACAGCAAGGGCTCGTATCATATCCAGCAGCTCTGAATACTAACAAATTTATTTGGGATGTAGGTAATTCTATATGTGTCCTAGTGCATCCTGTAATTTTTGTATGTGTAAAAATATATATACCAATATATATTGTACATAAACTTAATTTTAAGTAACTTTCCTTTGTCTCTCTCATCTCATGGTAATCCACACAATAGTCCTGCTATGAATTATTGTTTTTCACACTAGATACTATGTAATTCAGACTAAAGATAGGTAATTAGGCTAACATCTTGTATTATATTCAATAATTAGCCAAGTTCCAAGTTCCAATAGCTAATCTGACCTTATTGTTTGATCTATCTTTAGTCCAAATTACTTTATATATTTAATTAACAAGTTATGATCCAATGAATTTTGTATTGTCATTCGATTAATTTATAATTTCAAGCTTAGTTTATAGTGTAAATGAAAATATGATTTAATTAATTTAAATTTTGCTTATAAAATAATTCTGTCTCTGAAACAAGGAATAAACATATTTTTAGAACACATTAAAATTAAAATTATAAATTTTTAGAAAAGTTACCATATCCCCACATAATAGAAAGTAGTTCACAAATTGCTATAAATAAAAGGGGAAATCCTGCTCCATAAGTATGCATGATATTAAATATGTAAGCACCACCCTAAAAATATGCAAAAGTTGTTATCAAGAATGAATAGAAAATGTTTATCATATGAATTTTAAAATAGTTAATTTAATAAATTACAACAGAATATTTTAAAAAAGTTAGTAAATACCTGTGTAACACAAGGTAGTCCTAAGAGGAAACAAAGACTACAAAGAAATAATAATATTTCTATTTTATATTTCCGTAATTTTGGAAATTCATCATAAATGACTGTTGTTAAAGTCTCCAATAATGCAAACTAAAATAAATAAAAATATATAAATTTTTTGCTTTAATTTCTATTTAAGAAAATTTACTCAAAATTAATCATATATAATCTAATACAGTTGAACTCTCTATTTGCAAGCTCTTTATTCATACATTTTGCATATTCTTGGTTCAAAAAATACAGTTAATAGTATTCACTAGTGTTAAGTTTTAAGTTTGATGTTCAATATATACAACTAAATGGAAATTGTCACATGACTCAGGTGTGTTTTTTTTTGTAATCTAATCCCTTAAAATGTGGGGTGAAATTTTCCTGCCTAGAGTGGGGAAACTAGTGCATTGCTTTTTGTGTGATGGATCAGTACTGCCCAGTGTGTGTCCAGTGGAGAATCAGTATCATGCTTGTTGATTTTTGGGTGCCAGAGTGTTGCCCACAGTGTGTAGAAATTAAAATTTCCTTTTTTGTTGTGTTACCATTGTTACAAAGAAATTGTGTACTTTATTCAGAACTTGTAAACAAGAACAAACATTTTTCAACTTGTATAATGGCAACAGATAAAGAAGTTTTCCACATTATTTTAGCACATATACTTATGCAAATAGTAAGCAACTTTCAAATATAAATAATTTTATGATAAAAAATTTGAACAGTGTAGAGTTCCTTTACTATGGATTCTTTTTTCAACTGACACTTTTCATTGTGTCTTGTACCTTGATATCCTAAAATCTGCCTTAAGAGCAACCATATTCTCAAAATCTTGGATATACCACTGGCATTGATTATATTTGAAAAAAGATTAAAAATGGATGGAATTCAAAAAACTTGTTCAAATAGGCAGAATGAGAAGAAAAGCAAAACACAACAAAAGTTGATTAATATCTATAGGAAAAAAGGACCCTGCATCCTAGGTTTGATGGGAAAAATAAACAATATATTAGGTAAGTAAAGTGGAAAAAATAGAAATTTTGCAGTATTTAATGAATGAATTTAGCCATAACCAAAATCAGTTTTTGCTATAGAACAAAGAACTAAAGCTACTCTGCAAGAAATAATTAAAACAGAACTTAAAATTGGTATGACAATTTACACATATGAGTGATAGTCTCAAAGGTTTTAGAGAAATTAAATATGATCACATCTGTAAATCATCAGACTAACTTAATCTGATTTAAAGAATTAAAAGCTCTTGGTCAAAACTAAAATTAATTAAAACTAAATAGTTTCAATTATTTTCAGTGAAAAAAGCACATGATGCAAATATGGAAACAATAACCTCTTACTTGGCAGAAATATTGTGGAAGAATTCAAAAGATCAAATAATAATTTCTGCTTTTTTCAGTGATGTTTACAAAATAATATAAGTAAACTTTAAAGTGGCCATGTTTACCTTAAAAAACTCAAAAAAATTATATTTAATACAAAATGTATCCTATTCATACTGCTTGTTTGAATTTTATTCCAAAAGCTTACGAAGAATCATCGAGAGATTGTTACAAAACCCGATGAAGAACTTGGAAGAAGTTTGAAAATGTTTGTTTTTGTTTGTTTTCTTTATCTGCACACCATAATCGATTCGGAGTATGTGATTACCTATTCATATACTTGAATGATAGGAAATGCTTGGAGGACTAAGCTTTAGGGACCCTAACTGAGGCCCAACCATAAATGTTTGTTAAAAAATAATGATAAAATATAAATTTCCATAAAACTTAAGACATCTATTAATAATAAAAATGTGATGATTTGATAAAAATAAAATATGAAAGATTAATGAATATTAATTATATTATATCTATAATTAAGACAATAAAGTAAAGAAATGATTCACTCGTCTGATTATTCGCCCTTGCATTGCATGGTGCACAAGATGGTTACAACATTGTTGCATCAGATATGAATAACATAACAGAACATCAAAATTACAGTTAATCAGATTTTCAGTACTTCAAAAAACTAATAATGAATTTTTTGATAATGTTCAACTTGAAAACTCAATTTTTAACACCTAAAAAATTTACATTAAAAGTTTAAAAATAAATATCCTTATGCTTTTAAAAAATTATAATAAGATTCTGTTACAGTCACACAAATACATAAACTTTCATTATTAATTTAGTTTAATCTCAAGAAATTTTTTTATTCTATAAATTATCTGATATTTTAATTTTTGTATTTCGATTACTTTATTAAGTTTATTTATAAATAAAACTATTTTAATTTAAATTTAGAAATGATTTCTTCATATATCAATAAATTTAATTAATTTAAAGTTAATTTTCTCAATTAATTAATTTAATTTAAAATCCTTACTTCACTGTCTATACCAAGAAGCAGCATCATCATGAAAAATAAAAATGTCCATAACTGGGGAAGCCACAATGTTGCTAATGCTTCTGGATATACAACAAATGCCAATCCTTGGTCTGTGTTTAAAAGAAAAAATTCAATTTTTTATAAACCATATCATAAATTTTTAAAAATAATTTTCAATATTATGTAATTATAAACAAAAAACTCTGTAAAGAAAAGAGAAGAATTGTTATTAAAGTAAATTCCAATAAAGTAGATTATTGTTATTGTTATCAAAACAAATTTGGAAGATATAACTTATTTCAATGTAGCATTTATATTAAATTACATGAAAGCATTTTCAAACTTCTATAACCTAAATGATCAAACTGTTGATCTTATCCAAACAAAAACATCTGAGGTGTCAAAAATTTCACCAAGTAAAACTTTATGACAATTTACCCTAACCAGACGGGCCTTCACGCATCACACAAACGCTCGCAACACCCAGTTAGAGCTCCGCTGCATAGAAAAAATTGCAGTTGAGCATGGCTACAGTAAAGGCATGATTCACGGTTTAGCCCGTGCCTGCGCCAACCGTCCCCCACACTGCAGTGGCAGCCCCCTGTCTACCCTGGATGGCGGCCACCAACCTGTTAAGAACGATAGACGTGCAGTCGTCTGGTTCAACCAACATTTAGACCACCTATACAGGGAGATTGCTTGCCGTAATCGCACAAAGATTGCGTACAGGAGAACCGGCACTATTTACAACCTGCTGCACAATGCCAAGGACATGATAGATCTCAACAGGACCCCAGGAGTATACTCCATTCCCATCAGGGATGATAGATTCCATAGAGACTTAGTTTACATTGGTTCCACCATCCACTCAACACAAAAACGGTTACATGAACATCAAATGGATATTAAAAACAACAGGCACACCACTAACTTGTCGGCCTACGTTACCAACCCTGAAATTCGGGTGGACTTCCAAAACACCAAAGTAATCAGAGAGGCATTTTGTATTGATCACATCCATCACCTGGAGGCCTGGGAGATTTATAAAGCCAACAATGGGGGCACCCGAATCAACTTTAAAGACGGAGAGACGATTGCGCAGGCGTGGAGATACTTATTCAAAGAATTCAAACTGGGACAAGCAAAGGGGTGAAATGCGATATGCGCATTAGTTACATCTTGGGCATCATCGTTCCAATGGTCAAGAGGAGACACTGTTTAGTCACCACCTGAAGAAGACCTTGGTGGAGGTCGAAAACGTTAGTGAAGATTGTTACCAACACTGTGTTGGAATCAATGATCACGATGTTTTGTAATGTTCTGATGTAATAAAAGGTTGGTGGCGCTCGACCCCTCAGGCAAGATAACCTTGTTTCACTCTCTCCTTTCTAGCGCTGACCTTCCGGGAGTAAAGACTGTGTGTAATCTTTGTGCACTCTTTGTTCTTTTGTTACACAACCAGTTATGTTAGTCCAACTGCCTTTTTACTAATCTCTCCAAAAAGCAACATCCAGTCTAACACACTGTTATGAAAAGGTTTTGTGGATTGTTATTACTCAACACAGTATTAAGATTAGAAGTCATTTTGTGTTATTGTCATAAAGTTTTACTTGGTGAAATTTTTTTATATCTCAGATGTTTTTTGTTTTAATATCAATTGTTTTTGTTTAATAATTTTATTATTACATCACCATAAGATTAATTGGTGTTTGGTGACCACCAACTGAATACACCACTGACCAAATGTGCTGCCAACCGAACACTTTCAATATTCATTTCAGTCAGCATCAACCAAATGCACCGCTGACTGACACTTTTGATATGTCATTTAGAAAAATTATTATAAAAAGTTTTAATTGGCATAAATTTAAGCGTTTGTAATTCTGAGTAACATTTTGAATAAAATTCATTTGTTTCCATGTAATTTTATCTTTATAAGCATAAAATTAAAGCATAAATAAGCATAAAATTAAAAAGTCATAAAACTTGTGGGATCTGCAAATATCCATGGGGTTAATTAATTTATCAGTTTTAGTGTTGCATGGCAAATTTTATGGTAGGCCTACTTATATGTATGATTTAATTTCAATTTTCCAAACTATATAATAATTATTAATTGGTTCATAAATTATGGTTTTATTTTGTGTGCAATAAATTTTTGGGGAAATTTTGGATCCTGAAAATATTCTGCATGCCTTTTCATAAGTTGCATTGTACCATATTACTTCTTGCTGCCTGCAGACAGCTACACTTGGTCTACCTTATTGTGAGCAAAAAAAAATCAACAAGGCAGCCAAGGAGGCAAATTCCCTGACTTTCCATGACTTTTGCTGAACACTAATGAAAATTCCCAATTTTCCGACTTTCCAGATGTGTAGGAACCCTATGTTTTCTAAAAAAACAAATATTTTCAGGATGATTTATTACAAATATTTTACTACAAATATTTCTTAAACAACATTTAAGATGATTTCAAAATTTTAATATTTTTCTTTGTTATTATTATAAGTACACTGATTTGTTTTGACTTTATTAAAAAGTTTTTAATTCAAAGATAGGTAACTTAAATGTAAATAGAGAATACTCAAATGTGCTAAAGAGGATATTTAGTTTAACTATGAATTTGATTCTAATAAAATATTTTGTTTTGCAGATTTATTTTTCTACTTTTAGTAAACATAAAGAAATGACTAATTTAAAGGCTTATTATAGCAGTTCCCAAAGTATGCTCCATGGTACCCTAGGGCATCGCAGCTTCCTCACAGGGGCACCATAAAATGTTATAAAATTTTTATGTTAGAATTTATTATTTAATGTTCTTGTTAGAATTTGACTTAGGGTGCCTTGGGAAAATCTGCATTTAGCAAGGGCACCTAGAATCAAAAAAGTTTAGGAACCACTGACTTATGAAATTATATACTCACCTGCTTTAACAACTTCATCTATACAAAGTCCAGTTTCTTTAGCTAACATTCCAAGAACACAAAATATTACTAAACTAGCTAACAAACTTGTGATAAAATCCAAGGAACTTACTAATAAGGCTTGTCTAGAAAAATAAATTATAAAATTAATTTAATTTAATGATCAAAATAAAATATCTGTAAATGAATAAATGTTAATTTGAAATTAGTATAATTATTAAAAATTAAAAAAAATTAAAATTGACATTTACAATTGTTATAGATTTGAATTTACTTATAATCTTTTTGATTTGGTAATGTTTTGAAGTTATGGATCACATTATATAATCGACTAAAATCGTAAAACTATGAATTGTTATAAGAGAGCATTCATTTATTTTTTCATTTTATGTTTTTAAAATATTTATGAACTTTTATTTTTAATAGTTTCTAATCATTATCAAATTTCAAATTTCTTATATTTCATGGGGATACAACTGGAACATTTTTTCAAAAATGTTACCCGTTATATTCTTATTTTGTTTAAATATGAGAAATCTAGTTCAATTTGAGTCTAATTGAATCATTCTGAAGAGGACAGTTGTCAACTATCAAAAGTACTTTCAATTTTGAATAAAATGTTGGTTTTAACGTTGTAAAACAAAGTATGTTACATTGTAACATTACATTAACAATGAATAAAATGAACTGAGCCACTCTATTGGGCAGAATGAATGCCATGGGTTGATTGGAGCTGATATAAAAAGCAAATAAGCATGAGGATTTCCACCCCTTTCATCAGAGGCCATCTTGCAATGAAAGGAGAACACCATCTGGCAATTGTCTGTCTTAGCTACATTCAATAAACACAGTACAGAGAAATGCTAATGATAATACAAGGGCTATTTTTTAAATAAAGTCTGTTTGTGAATGAGAGCGAGAATGACGCGCGATTGCAGCAGTGTGCATGAGCATCTGCTTTCAGCATGCTTTGCGCATGTTTAGGTGCCATTTGCAGCCATATCGTCTGTCTATGTGCTGAACTGTAGAAGTTTATAATGTTTAAGAAAATTGAGTCGCCTGCCGACTGTAAGATATGATCTGTTATTCGATTTCAGCATGAAAGATCATGGCAACTATCTTTTGGGACAGGAAAGGGACTTTGTTAGTGGATTTTATGCCAAGAGGCACAACAATCAATTCTGATGCTTATTGTGACCTTCAGAAAACTGCTGTGCCATACAAGACAAGCGGCGTGGCCTAATGTCTTTCGGCAGCAGGTGGCAGATTTCTTTGAAGTCAGAATTTAAAATTCTTTGAGCGGTATGACAAATGTTTGAACAAAAATGGAAATTATGTAGAAAAGTAGATAAAAGTATGTAGAATGTGGGAAAAAATATATTTTAATGATATTTACAGTATTTTTCTTCATATTAAAAAATGGACCTTATTTAAAAAATAGCCCTCGTATGTTAGAAAGATAAAAACATAATTACTAAAAAAGTACCATTTAACAACTAATACTAAACACAAAACAAGAAATAGAGGAGAAAGTACAGATGAAAATTTACAAATAATTCAGAAAATACTGTAAATGCTACATTATAAATATATATTTATAAAGAAAAGCTAAATAATTAGTATTAAACACTTTAGTTATTGTGACATTTTTTCCTGAAACAACTTTAATTTTAGTCATCATATATGCATACCAGAGTATTTTTTTAGGAAAAGAACACTATGTGTATGTATTTTTCATACAACATAGATTATATTATCATTACATTTCTAAATATTTATTTTTTATGATTTAATTTTTTATAAAATAAGTGAAAATATCTAATCAGAGAATAATCAAGTTTCAATCAATCAAAAATGCACAGAACTAATATAAATTAAAATTTTAAAATCTTCTTACTTGTGTATTTTATTGTGAAAATGATTATAACTACCAAACATTATGAGACTTCCCCAAGATAGACCCAAAGAATAAAATAATTGTTCTGCTGCAGCCAACCATATCTATAAATATTATAACAGAGCTTTTAAATACAAATACATATTGGTATTTATTTATTTATTTATTTATTGGTTTATATTAAACTGATATATACCTTTAAATCTGTAAGCCTTTCCCATTTAGGAACAAACAAAAAATATATTCCATCTGATGCTCCATCTAATGTTGCTCCATAAATAAATAGAGAGATTAAAATAATATAGGGTGATGTTGCAGTAAAATAAATGACCTGTTTTCAATGTTAAAATAAATGTTAGTTATATAAAAATATATATCTTTTATGGTGAAATGATCATGATAAATTTAAAAATCAAAACAACAATAGTTAAATTTATTATAAAAATTTTTGAAATTACTAGATTATTGATTTTTTTCACTATATCAAGAGTCCACTATATACACTAGACTCTTGATATAGTGAAAAATTCCATGGGATCTTTATTATTTATGTATATAGTGAATTTTTTATACAATGAATGATTTATTCAGTTTCTTAAGAATGTACTATATATATGAAATTGAAGTTTTTACTCATTTTCTTTTCTTTCAATTATTAACTAAAAATATTTGTTTATAAGAATCCTGAGATATTTAATAGAAAAGTTTATAAGAACTTCATCAATATGGTATATCATATAGTAAAAATATTTCTCAATTCACATTTCACAATTTTCTTATATTACAATGTATATTTTAATATTCTAGTTTATTTTTGATCATCATCATTAACACTAATATTAATTAATAATGTTTTATTATTACTTATAAATAAGTTTAATATTTATTTTTGAAATTACAAATCAGCATAATTACCTTGCCTGAGCTTTTCACACCTTTTATCAAACAGAGAAATACAATTAGCCAAGCAATAAATAAGGAAAGTGCCAAGTCCCATTTAATAGAACCTATTTCATCTATACTTGAACTAAGTTGCAAAACATAACGTCTAATAAAAACAAAATAGAATTTATTAAAAATTTTTATACTTGTATGTGTATGTATGTATTTATATATTAAATAAAAATTATAAATTTTTTTTAAGATTAAAACAATGTATTAGACATACAGAAATGAGATTTATTTCATTATTATTACTGATGAGGTAATTTTATATAAGATTTGTAATTATCAATGTTAAATTTTTTAACTATAATAATGTATATTCTTAATATCTAAAATGACTTCATATATCATATGAGTTAGTTATTAAAAAAACTTCTTAATTGTTAATTATTGTTAATTCATTTCAGTAATGCAAAAAATAGAATGAAAACATTTATATCTAATCTTTACTTCTTGTATAACTATCATATAAAAATTTCTGTTTCCTATTATGAAAAATAAATAAAGGTTTTGTTTGTGTGTTTTAATATAAGCTAATTTTTATTTAAAATTTCTTTTAATTTGAATTCTTTGAGATCATAACTGCATCTAATTTAATTAAAGTTGATTATAAATTGTTTTATATTTTTAAAATTAAACTTACAAATGGATGAATTGATTATTAATATTAAGCACTAAATACAGTAGAACCTCGAAAACTCGGCTCTCGATAACCCGGCACTCCGGATAACTCGGGCACACCCTGGCAGGGCAAAAAAATCCTTAGTTAATTAATTTTCATTATAGACAGCTTTATAAAAGTATAAATGCTCTCATAAAGTATTTTTCTGAGGTCTGTCTTATCAGGTAAATTACTGTACACAGTGTATTCATTAATTTTCATTTTCATGTAGTAAAGGCTCTATGCCTTCATAAAGGACGTACTTTTCCTTTGTTTAAGGGTATTTGGGCAGTTTATTCTCTGTTATATTCTCAAGTAAACAGTACATACAAGTACAGTACAGTATTTTCTGAGGAAACACTCGTACTTAATTTTTTTAACCCCATTCCCGATAACCCGGCATTTTCACAAACTCGGCCACCCTTCGATCCACATTAGGCCGAGTTTTCGAGGTTCTACTGTATAATTTTTTTTAGGGATTGTCCATTAATTATATATACAGTTTAAGGGGGAGAAAAGTTACTAGTACATCATTGTACAAGATTGGGAGGAAGAAGGTCAAGGCATTGCTACATGGACTTTTTAGTGGTATTAGTGGCATATGAAGTTGTTCTTATAAGCCTACTTACTAGTCAGGTGAATAAACTAAGAAGTATAAAATATTTGCAGAACTTTTTAAAATCATTTCTTGAATGTCAAAAAGATCCATGAATTATTGTTCACATAATTAATGAACAATAGGTTTACCAAAAGTACACAATTGAATACAACAGGGAAGGATGGAATCAAAAATGGCTCAATACCCATACATGTAATTAATGGACAACCCCTTAATAAAAACAACTATGTTTTTACAAAATGAATGTTTTTCTTAATTGTAATGGTAAGGAGACTGATTTTCTATTTAGCTGACAAAAGCTATAATGTTTTTGTACAAATAATATTATATGTACATTTTTGGTAATGTAGATTTATTTATTTATAATAAAAATAAATCATATCACAAAAGTGAAATATCTTTTCAAATTTATATAAAATGATATCTTCCTTTCTTATGTGTTTATTAATCTAGCTGAAAGCATAAGGCATATTGTCTTAACTACTATGAAAAGAACAAGTCCATTACTCTTTACAGTTGTCTTTATTGTACTTCTTGTATGTAAGATGTTGGCTAGACAAAGGACAAGGCTTCCTTTGTTAGCAGTTTTTTATATCCCATACCCTGAGCAATAATGTTGCCAATCATACAAACCCTGAGGCAATGGTGTTGCCAATACAAAACAATATTAATATGAATTATAATTTAATCATATATATATACACATATATATTTACTTTTATAATTTACTCACTCCCAAAATTGTTCAGATGCAGTTTGTGTGGCATTTGTACAATTAATCATATTAGAAACATTCATCATTGTAGTTTTATTAACATTACAAAGCATTACTGTATCTCTCATATTTGCACATTTGACCTGAAATATATAAAAATAAAAATTTATACATATTATTCTATTAGTTTTAAATTCATAAATAAAATCAGGTACCCCAAAAATTGAATAACAATTATAAACTATCTTAAGAAAGACAGTAACTACTGTATTTATCAATTGAACAGATAACAACTAGACTATAAATACAAGGATTAAAGGAGAAACACATTTATTGTAACAGTTAAAAAATAAATTTGCTTATTATAATCAAAGTAGATTGTATCTCTCCAATAAAAATCTACTTTTTATGAAAACTGCATTATTCAATACATAAGCCTAGAATGACTTTACTGTATAATAATTTTATTTTCAACAAGTATTTAAAAAATACAAACAGTTTAACAATTCAATTATTTAATTATAATGCCAAAATGAATAGACTAAATTTTCTTATTAATCTATAATACCTCTGAAAAATTTTAAAAGTCACAAATATTAAATTTGTACAAATGAATTACTGTTATTAATATTTTATTGATACAATTTTATAATTTACTTTTATCATCATTATAAGATATCACAAAAGAAAAACAAATAAATATAAACTTACTGAAATCCAAAATTTTTATTAAAAAAAATTTATTTTATACTACCTGATGTATATTCCGTACATAACAAGAACTATCAGCTCCCCACCATTCATAACAATTACTCCAAGGAATTACAGCTTGAAAAGATTGAGCCAAAAAAAATAATGTATAAGCCATCAAAACATTATAACTTATAGACTGAATAAAGGAGACAACAATCATAGCTACTCCTACTCCTGTTTTAACAAAAAAAAATTATTTATTCATTATATTTATCCATGTACATTTTTCTTTAAATNCATAAGTACTTATAAAAGAGTAACTCAGATTTACAACAAAATTTATATTGCAAATCAACTCCAAGTACATTAAAAATATAACAATTACAAAAATCTGCTTTATTGAAGTTCATTTTAATAACAGTTTTTTCTCAAGTACTGTACTTTCTCTCTCATGACAATAGGCTGGTTGCTCAAAAGTGCTCAAAGAAAAAAAAAAATCTGTTATTAAAGTAAATTCCAATAAAGTAGATTATTGTTATTGTTATCAAAACAAATTTGGAAGATATAACTTATTTCAATGTAGCATTTATATTAAATTACATGAAAGCATTTTCAAACTTCTATAACCTAAATGATCAAACTGTTGATCTTATCCAAACAAAAACATCTGAGGTGTCAAAAATTTCACCAAGTAAAACTTTATGACAATTTACCCTAACCAGACGGGCCTTCACGCATCACACAAACGCTCGCAACACCCAGTTAGAGCTCCGCTGCATAGAAAAAATTGCAGTTGAGCATGGCTACAGTAAAGGCATGATTCACGGTTTAGCCCGTGCCTGCGCCAACCGTCCCCCACACTGCAGTGGCAGCCCCCTGTCTACCCTGGATGGCGGCCACCAACCTGTTAAGAACGATAGACGTGCAGTCGTCTGGTTCAACCAACATTTAGACCACCTATACAGGGAGATTGCTTGCCGTAATCGCACAAAGATTGCGTACAGGAGAACCGGCACTATTTACAACCTGCTGCACAATGCCAAGGACATGATAGATCTCAACAGGACCCCAGGAGTATACTCCATTCCCATCAGGGATGATAGATTCCATAGAGACTTAGTTTACATTGGTTCCACCATCCACTCAACACAAAAACGGTTACATGAACATCAAATGGATATTAAAAACAACAGGCACACCACTAACTTGTCGGCCTACGTTACCAACCCTGAAATTCGGGTGGACTTCCAAAACACCAAAGTAATCAGAGAGGCATTTTGTATTGATCACATCCATCACCTGGAGGCCTGGGAGATTTATAAAGCCAACAATGGGGGCACCCGAATCAACTTTAAAGACGGAGAGACGATTGCGCAGGCGTGGAGATACTTATTCAAAGAATTCAAACTGGGACAAGCAAAGGGGTGAAATGCGATATGCGCATTAGTTACATCTTGGGCATCATCGTTCCAATGGTCAAGAGGAGACACTGTTTAGTCACCACCTGAAGAAGACCTTGGTGGAGGTCGAAAACGTTAGTGAAGATTGTTACCAACACTGTGTTGGAATCAATGATCACGATGTTTTGTAATGTTCTGATGTAATAAAAGGTTGGTGGCGCTCGACCCCTCAGGCAAGATAACCTTGTTTCACTCTCTCCTTTCTAGCGCTGACCTTCCGGGAGTAAAGACTGTGTGTAATCTTTGTGCACTCTTTGTTCTTTTGTTACACAACCAGTTATGTTAGTCCAACTGCCTTTTTACTAATCTCTCCAAAAAGCAACATCCAGTCTAACACACTGTTATGAAAAGGTTTTGTGGATTGTTATTACTCAACACAGTATTAAGATTAGAAGTCATTTTGTGTTATTGTCATAAAGTTTTACTTGGTGAAATTTTTTTATATCTCAGATGTTTTTTGTTTTAATATCAATTGTTTTTGTTTAATAATTTTATTATTACATCACCATAAGATTAATTGGTGTTTGGTGACCACCAACTGAATACACCACTGACCAAATGTGCTGCCAACCGAACACTTTCAATATTCATTTCAGTCAGCATCAACCAAATGCACCGCTGACTGACACTTTTGATATGTCATTTAGAAAAATTATTATAAAAAGTTTTAATTGGCATAAATTTAAGCGTTTGTAATTCTGAGTAACATTTTGAATAAAATTCATTTGTTTCCATGTAATTTTATCTTTATAAGCATAAAATTAAAGCATAAATAAGCATAAAATTAAAAAGTCATAAAACTTGTGGGATCTGCAAATATCCATGGGGTTAATTAATTTATCAGTTTTAGTGTTGCATGGCAAATTTTATGGTAGGCCTACTTATATGTATGATTTAATTTCAATTTTCCAAACTATATAATAATTATTAATTGGTTCATAAATTATGGTTTTATTTTGTGTGCAATAAATTTTTGGGGAAATTTTGGATCCTGAAAATATTCTGCATGCCTTTTCATAAGTTGCATTGTACCATATTACTTCTTGCTGCCTGCAGACAGCTACACTTGGTCTACCTTATTGTGAGCAAAAAAAAAATCAACAAGGCAGCCAAGGAGGCAAATTCCCTGACTTTCCATGACTTTTGCTGAACACTAATGAAAATTCCCAATTTTCCGACTTTCCAGATGTGTAGGAACCCTATGTTTTCTAAAAAAACAAATATTTTCAGGATGATTTATTACAAATATTTTACTACAAATATTTCTTAAACAACATTTAAGATGATTTCAAAATTTTAATATTTTTCTTTGTTATTATTATAAGTACACTGATTTGTTTTGACTTTATTAAAAAGTTTTTAATTCAAAGATAGGTAACTTAAATGTAAATAGAGAATACTCAAATGTGCTAAAGAGGATATTTAGTTTAACTATGAATTTGATTCTAATAAAATATTTTGTTTTGCAGATTTATTTTTCTACTTTTAGTAAACATAAAGAAATGACTAATTTAAAGGCTTATTATAGCAGTTCCCAAAGTATGCTCCATGGTACCCTAGGGCATCGCAGCTTCCTCACAGGGGCACCATAAAATGTTATAAAATTTTTATGTTAGAATTTATTATTTAATGTTCTTGTTAGAATTTGACTTAGGGTGCCTTGGGAAAATCTGCATTTAGCAAGGGCACCTAGAATCAAAAAAGTTTAGGAACCACTGACTTATGAAATTATATACTCACCTGCTTTAACAACTTCATCTATACAAAGTCCAGTTTCTTTAGCTAACATTCCAAGAACACAAAATATTACTAAACTAGCTAACAAACTTGTGATAAAATCCAAGGAACTTACTAATAAGGCTTGTCTAGAAAAATAAATTATAAAATTAATTTAATTTAATGATCAAAATAAAATATCTGTAAATGAATAAATGTTAATTTGAAATTAGTATAATTATTAAAAATTAAAAAAAATTAAAATTGACATTTACAATTGTTATAGATTTGAATTTACTTATAATCTTTTTGATTTGGTAATGTTTTGAAGTTATGGATCACATTATATAATCGACTAAAATCGTAAAACTATGAATTGTTATAAGAGAGCATTCATTTATTTTTTCATTTTATGTTTTTAAAATATTTATGAACTTTTATTTTTAATAGTTTCTAATCATTATCAAATTTCAAATTTCTTATATTTCATGGGGATACAACTGGAACATTTTTTCAAAAATGTTACCCGTTATATTCTTATTTTGTTTAAATATGAGAAATCTAGTTCAATTTGAGTCTAATTGAATCATTCTGAAGAGGACAGTTGTCAACTATCAAAAGTACTTTCAATTTTGAATAAAATGTTGGTTTTAACGTTGTAAAACAAAGTATGTTACATTGTAACATTACATTAACAATGAATAAAATGAACTGAGCCACTCTATTGGGCAGAATGAATGCCATGGGTTGATTGGAGCTGATATAAAAAGCAAATAAGCATGAGGATTTCCACCCCTTTCATCAGAGGCCATCTTGCAATGAAAGGAGAACACCATCTGGCAATTGTCTGTCTTAGCTACATTCAATAAACACAGTACAGAGAAATGCTAATGATAATACAAGGGCTATTTTTTAAATAAAGTCTGTTTGTGAATGAGAGCGAGAATGACGCGCGATTGCAGCAGTGTGCATGAGCATCTGCTTTCAGCATGCTTTGCGCATGTTTAGGTGCCATTTGCAGCCATATCGTCTGTCTATGTGCTGAACTGTAGAAGTTTATAATGTTTAAGAAAATTGAGTCGCCTGCCGACTGTAAGATATGATCTGTTATTCGATTTCAGCATGAAAGATCATGGCAACTATCTTTTGGGACAGGAAAGGGACTTTGTTAGTGGATTTTATGCCAAGAGGCACAACAATCAATTCTGATGCTTATTGTGACCTTCAGAAAACTGCTGTGCCATACAAGACAAGCGGCGTGGCCTAATGTCTTTCGGCAGCAGGTGGCAGATTTCTTTGAAGTCAGAATTTAAAATTCTTTGAGCGGTATGACAAATGTTTGAACAAAAATGGAAATTATGTAGAAAAGTAGATAAAAGTATGTAGAATGTGGGAAAAAATATATTTTAATGATATTTACAGTATTTTTCTTCATATTAAAAAATGGACCTTATTTAAAAAATAGCCCTCGTATGTTAGAAAGATAAAAACATAATTACTAAAAAAGTACCATTTAACAACTAATACTAAACACAAAACAAGAAATAGAGGAGAAAGTACAGATGAAAATTTACAAATAATTCAGAAAATACTGTAAATGCTACATTATAAATATATATTTATAAAGAAAAGCTAAATAATTAGTATTAAACACTTTAGTTATTGTGACATTTTTTCCTGAAACAACTTTAATTTTAGTCATCATATATGCATACCAGAGTATTTTTTTAGGAAAAGAACACTATGTGTATGTATTTTTCATACAACATAGATTATATTATCATTACATTTCTAAATATTTATTTTTTATGATTTAATTTTTTATAAAATAAGTGAAAATATCTAATCAGAGAATAATCAAGTTTCAATCAATCAAAAATGCACAGAACTAATATAAATTAAAATTTTAAAATCTTCTTACTTGTGTATTTTATTGTGAAAATGATTATAACTACCAAACATTATGAGACTTCCCCAAGATAGACCCAAAGAATAAAATAATTGTTCTGCTGCAGCCAACCATATCTATAAATATTATAACAGAGCTTTTAAATACAAATACATATTGGTATTTATTTATTTATTTATTTATTGGTTTATATTAAACTGATATATACCTTTAAATCTGTAAGCCTTTCCCATTTAGGAACAAACAAAAAATATATTCCATCTGATGCTCCATCTAATGTTGCTCCATAAATAAATAGAGAGATTAAAATAATATAGGGTGATGTTGCAGTAAAATAAATGACCTGTTTTCAATGTTAAAATAAATGTTAGTTATATAAAAATATATATCTTTTATGGTGAAATGATCATGATAAATTTAAAAATCAAAACAACAATAGTTAAATTTATTATAAAAATTTTTGAAATTACTAGATTATTGATTTTTTTCACTATATCAAGAGTCCACTATATACACTAGACTCTTGATATAGTGAAAAATTCCATGGGATCTTTATTATTTATGTATATAGTGAATTTTTTATACAATGAATGATTTATTCAGTTTCTTAAGAATGTACTATATATATGAAATTGAAGTTTTTACTCATTTTCTTTTCTTTCAATTATTAACTAAAAATATTTGTTTATAAGAATCCTGAGATATTTAATAGAAAAGTTTATAAGAACTTCATCAATATGGTATATCATATAGTAAAAATATTTCTCAATTCACATTTCACAATTTTCTTATATTACAATGTATATTTTAATATTCTAGTTTATTTTTGATCATCATCATTAACACTAATATTAATTAATAATGTTTTATTATTACTTATAAATAAGTTTAATATTTATTTTTGAAATTACAAATCAGCATAATTACCTTGCCTGAGCTTTTCACACCTTTTATCAAACAGAGAAATACAATTAGCCAAGCAATAAATAAGGAAAGTGCCAAGTCCCATTTAATAGAACCTATTTCATCTATACTTGAACTAAGTTGCAAAACATAACGTCTAATAAAAACAAAATAGAATTTATTAAAAATTTTTATACTTGTATGTGTATGTATGTATTTATATATTAAATAAAAATTATAAATTTTTTTTAAGATTAAAACAATGTATTAGACATACAGAAATGAGATTTATTTCATTATTATTACTGATGAGGTAATTTTATATAAGATTTGTAATTATCAATGTTAAATTTTTTAACTATAATAATGTATATTCTTAATATCTAAAATGACTTCATATATCATATGAGTTAGTTATTAAAAAAACTTCTTAATTGTTAATTATTGTTAATTCATTTCAGTAATGCAAAAAATAGAATGAAAACATTTATATCTAATCTTTACTTCTTGTATAACTATCATATAAAAATTTCTGTTTCCTATTATGAAAAATAAATAAAGGTTTTGTTTGTGTGTTTTAATATAAGCTAATTTTTATTTAAAATTTCTTTTAATTTGAATTCTTTGAGATCATAACTGCATCTAATTTAATTAAAGTTGATTATAAATTGTTTTATATTTTTAAAATTAAACTTACAAATGGATGAATTGATTATTAATATTAAGCACTAAATACAGTAGAACCTCGAAAACTCGGCTCTCGATAACCCGGCACTCCGGATAACTCGGGCACACCCTGGCAGGGCAAAAAAATCCTTAGTTAATTAATTTTCATTATAGACAGCTTTATAAAAGTATAAATGCTCTCATAAAGTATTTTTCTGAGGTCTGTCTTATCAGGTAAATTACTGTACACAGTGTATTCATTAATTTTCATTTTCATGTAGTAAAGGCTCTATGCCTTCATAAAGGACGTACTTTTCCTTTGTTTAAGGGTATTTGGGCAGTTTATTCTCTGTTATATTCTCAAGTAAACAGTACATACAAGTACAGTACAGTATTTTCTGAGGAAACACTCGTACTTAATTTTTTTAACCCCATTCCCGATAACCCGGCATTTTCACAAACTCGGCCACCCTTCGATCCACATTAGGCCGAGTTTTCGAGGTTCTACTGTATAATTTTTTTTAGGGATTGTCCATTAATTATATATACAGTTTAAGGGGGAGAAAAGTTACTAGTACATCATTGTACAAGATTGGGAGGAAGAAGGTCAAGGCATTGCTACATGGACTTTTTAGTGGTATTAGTGGCATATGAAGTTGTTCTTATAAGCCTACTTACTAGTCAGGTGAATAAACTAAGAAGTATAAAATATTTGCAGAACTTTTTAAAATCATTTCTTGAATGTCAAAAAGATCCATGAATTATTGTTCACATAATTAATGAACAATAGGTTTACCAAAAGTACACAATTGAATACAACAGGGAAGGATGGAATCAAAAATGGCTCAATACCCATACATGTAATTAATGGACAACCCCTTAATAAAAACAACTATGTTTTTACAAAATGAATGTTTTTCTTAATTGTAATGGTAAGGAGACTGATTTTCTATTTAGCTGACAAAAGCTATAATGTTTTTGTACAAATAATATTATATGTACATTTTTGGTAATGTAGATTTATTTATTTATAATAAAAATAAATCATATCACAAAAGTGAAATATCTTTTCAAATTTATATAAAATGATATCTTCCTTTCTTATGTGTTTATTAATCTAGCTGAAAGCATAAGGCATATTGTCTTAACTACTATGAAAAGAACAAGTCCATTACTCTTTACAGTTGTCTTTATTGTACTTCTTGTATGTAAGATGTTGGCTAGACAAAGGACAAGGCTTCCTTTGTTAGCAGTTTTTTATATCCCATACCCTGAGCAATAATGTTGCCAATCATACAAACCCTGAGGCAATGGTGTTGCCAATACAAAACAATATTAATATGAATTATAATTTAATCATATATATATACACATATATATTTACTTTTATAATTTACTCACTCCCAAAATTGTTCAGATGCAGTTTGTGTGGCATTTGTACAATTAATCATATTAGAAACATTCATCATTGTAGTTTTATTAACATTACAAAGCATTACTGTATCTCTCATATTTGCACATTTGACCTGAAATATATAAAAATAAAAATTTATACATATTATTCTATTAGTTTTAAATTCATAAATAAAATCAGGTACCCCAAAAATTGAATAACAATTATAAACTATCTTAAGAAAGACAGTAACTACTGTATTTATCAATTGAACAGATAACAACTAGACTATAAATACAAGGATTAAAGGAGAAACACATTTATTGTAACAGTTAAAAAATAAATTTGCTTATTATAATCAAAGTAGATTGTATCTCTCCAATAAAAATCTACTTTTTATGAAAACTGCATTATTCAATACATAAGCCTAGAATGACTTTACTGTATAATAATTTTATTTTCAACAAGTATTTAAAAAATACAAACAGTTTAACAATTCAATTATTTAATTATAATGCCAAAATGAATAGACTAAATTTTCTTATTAATCTATAATACCTCTGAAAAATTTTAAAAGTCACAAATATTAAATTTGTACAAATGAATTACTGTTATTAATATTTTATTGATACAATTTTATAATTTACTTTTATCATCATTATAAGATATCACAAAAGAAAAACAAATAAATATAAACTTACTGAAATCCAAAATTTTTATTAAAAAAAATTTATTTTATACTACCTGATGTATATTCCGTACATAACAAGAACTATCAGCTCCCCACCATTCATAACAATTACTCCAAGGAATTACAGCTTGAAAAGATTGAGCCAAAAAAAATAATGTATAAGCCATCAAAACATTATAACTTATAGACTGAATAAAGGAGACAACAATCATAGCTACTCCTACTCCTGTTTTAACAAAAAAAAATTATTTATTCATTATATTTATCAAGTTATATTCTTTTAAAAGATTTTTAAATATATTTATCAAAATTACAATTGTTTTAAAATAAAATTTTAGTTTTATTAAGTTAAAGACACATTTGAACAAAATCTAATATATTTTATTATTTATTTAAAAACTTTTAATGAAATTCATTACATTAAAAATAGTAATACATTAAAATAGAGAACAAATGTATGTATTTTACCTTTTCCTAAAGGAAAGCATCTCCAAACTGAAAACGGTCCAAGACTACAAAACTGACCAAGTGCCACTTCCATAAAATACATTGGTTTTCCAATTAAAATTAAAAGTATGAAGTATGGAAAGAGAAATGCTCCTATTTGAAAAGAATCATTTATATTAGAACACAGATGTATACTAATATTAATTTTGCAGATGAATTTGCAATCATTTAAATCCCCAGCTACCTCTCCTCTCAATAGGTCCAGAGAAAAATCCCAAGCTATCTCTCTCGCAATAACCCTGGCTATAGAATCTAGCTAGCAATAACTCTTATGTTTATTCATGTTTAACTGCAATTCATTTGCACTATTGGCATTCAAAACTTAAAAATTTCTAACTTTCTGTTCGGTCAGAAATTATCCTTCTAAACTAAACTCACTTTAAGTTATTATAAATTAAACAAATAAAAATTAACAATAAGAATGAAATTAATTCCATACAAAGATTACAATACTCCTTCAGTGAGAATTTTGACTCCCTTGAACATGATTGTCTTTCTGATGTTTTCATGAGTTTTGTGTTAATAAAATATGATTATTTTGCATCTCTATAAGAACTATCTGAATGGAATAAACTTTCTTCATATTACCAATGAAAATTTGTGTTCTTGGTTGGCATTCAGAGTTAGATGTTATTAATTGTTACTGATAATCTAAGCAGTAATATCTTAAGCTAAGCTTAAAACATATTTTAAACAAAGATTAACTTATAATTGTTTATTAAAGACCCAACAGACATGTAAATAATACTAAATTCCATTCAAGAGTAGAAGTGAATGGATCTATAGGCATAAATAACATCACATTTTAAGTGCCAAGATTCCTCTAAATTAAATTATTTAATATCATGTCAGAAAAGATACTAAACTAAAGTAACAAATATCCTAATAAAAGGAATGACTAGTAGTTTTAATTTATTTTAATAGATTGTTAATGATCAATCATTCATTAACTGTGCAATTAAAAATCAATCATTTTTAATTTCAATTAACTTTATCTTAAAAATTAAAAGCTTCACAAAATTCATAATTACCTCCACCATTTTTATAAGCTAAATATGGAAATCTCCATACATTTCCAAATCCTACAGACCATCCTATACATGAAAGTACAAATTCTGTTGAACTCCCCCATTTATCTCTGAGAGGAAAATTTGATTTTTCATCAGGACTTTCTAGATCCTGAAATATTAAATGATTTTATAATTTATATAACAATTTAATTAATTTTTCACTTGCAATCTTATATAAATACAGAAATAGATTTTTAATGTTTATTATAATCAAATCATTAAATATCATATTATTTTGGGCAACAAAATCCAGAGTTTAATGGTTTCATCTTTGGTCTTGTTTATATACAGATTGATTCTAAATATATGTGAAAAATTTCAGGGGTTGATTCTTCAAATAATTTCAACCAAAAAGTTCATATGAGCACATATAAACATCAACTCAAAAACTTGATTTATAGTTAAAACCAAACAAATTGCTGAATTATAAGGGCATTTGAAATACTGTATGTTCATATGACTAATAATTCGACAGTTCATTTGGATAATTCAACATATGTTAAAAATCGCTGTTTTAAAGTTAGAGGATATTTAATATGTAGTCACATTGAAAATGTTGACAACTTACAAAATCACATTGTCACATCCTGTAAAATAATTCAACACACCTCTATAATCATTTTCAACAGTCATTACAAATACAGTATATCATTTTTAACATATGTTCATAGCATTTTTATAGTTGAAATTATTCAAAAAATCAGTTCCTGAAATTGTTTGCATGTATTTAGAATCACTGTATATGAATCAGCCCATGAATCAGATAAAGCTAAAATATGCTAATGCTAGCTTTATCCATGTTTTGGTTAAACCAAGCAACAATCTATTAATTTTGAACTTTATCTGTATAAAGTATGCTTTATCCAAATCACAAGCAAATAAATCCAACACTTTTCAAAAATAGATGGATGAAGCAAAAACAAAACTTAAAATTCGGGTTTTTCCAGACATTATGAAGGCTGTCTACTGTTGTTTGGATAGAGCTGAATATACAGTACATGTTGCCTTTTAATGAGGGTAGGCATTTTGTTTTTTAGCTACTACTTGATTAGTGAAATGAGAAGAAGTTGCCAGTTCAGGCAATTTATTGCTAGATTTTAAGCTAATTGACAATATGGAAATGATTTTTTCATTTTATGGTGATGATTTTATGGAGATGATTCTTTCATTCTGGAGGATTTTTGTGCCTTTGACAAAAAACACTTATAAAGTTTAGGATTTCAATGCATTAATAAATACAATTAAAAATAATAGATGTTTTAAAATCAGGATTGCCTAAAAATATATTGCCACACCACCTATATTTGAGACTAAGTACCACAAAATAAGAAAAGAATGCAAAAATATTAAAAGCTACACCAAAAAAATTTTTTTATTTCTTTTTGAATTGTATTTGTTATTATAATTAACTTCTGTTATGACATGTAAGATTTATGTGTTTTACATATTGGGTATTCTGTATATAAAAAAGTAAATAATAAAAATTTTGGATTCAATACTAATATAATAATTGTCATATGATATTAATAAAACCAACATTTAATTATTATACACATATATATAACTAAATACAGTATTTAACATTATTACAACTTTGTAAATATGTAAAACATAGATACAGAAATATATAATATTCTTTTACTATGCAATTTTTATTCTAAATAAAAATTTTAATTGCTTACCAATACTTCATTTTGAATTAAATGTTTTTCTTTATTAATACTTTTTGAATTTTCATCATGTTTTAAATTATTTGAATGGCAGTTATTAATTTTCTGAAAGAAAAATATTTTTATAACAACTATAATAATAATAATAAATATACATGATTAATCTTAATAAAATTTAAAACTATAGAGTTGCATGAACAATAATAGTTACATGCCATATATGCCAGTACTGTATATAAGTTGACTTTTTAAGCCTGAAAAATACTAGGGGTCAACTTACAGAGCAGATACAAAATGCAAATCTTTATAACTGAATGGTAAACAAGTTGAACACTCCTAACAATTACAGCTCTTATACAGTAGTAACTTTAGCCAGCTCACCACAAGTATTTCCAATTAAAATTCGTTCATGTTTGATAAACTTATTTAACATACAATAAAATTCAGTATAAATAAACATTACACCATATACTATTTCCATGATGATATACTGAGCATACTACAGTGCTAAGAAAGGTGTACTTTGAATGTTTTACTGTCATATGTTATATAATAGCAGATGATAGTTGACTCAATCATGATAGTATGCAATGAAAAATACTTTATAGTGCATACTATCATGAAAGTATATAATGTAAACACTCAATATTTTATTGACAATGTTCTTGAATATCTTTCTGGTAAACCTGATATACAATAGATTATTTTTTATCTTAACTTACTGAACATTTCTAATAGCTTCTTGGTCTAAAGCAGAATTTTCCCATGAGGTTGACTTATATTCCAACATATATAGTTGTGGCATTCAAAGACAACCACAATACAGTAATTAAAGTCGGAGACATGTTTGTATCTGGAAAATGAATAGTTACAAGATAATTATGTTTTGTCATTCAATCCTACTGATGTTTAGATCTAACATTAAGCAGGCAAACACGAACCGTAACAAAAAAGAACTTTATTAGAAAAGGTTAGAACTGTCACAGACATCCTCGGGCAACACCCGGACAAAATCCAACGAACTTTCGCGCCTTTTCTTTTTTTGACGTTGCCAGCCACTCTTGTTGGCAAGTGTTGCCAGACAGAGTTCGTGTTCTTGGCAAGTGTTGCCAGACAGTGTTCAGGATCTCTGGCGCTGGCGGCCACAATGTTATTAATTACCATTATTAGAATCTGAGAAATAACTTTAAAATTTACTTTCATAAGTACATTAAAAAGCATGTATTACTAATTTACAAAAAACTAGTTAACTATAACTAATGAACCAGGCTTATGATACTCTGAACATATTTAATTAATTTTTGTTCTCATGGAAATCGTTTAAAAATTTTGTGTGACAATTATTTTTACTTTTTCCGTTACAATTATAAACGTTATTCTCATGCACGTTTTTGGTTTTGATCACACTGGTCTTACAGATTCAGAACAGTTAGTTAATTCAGCACTTAGACGACAAAAATACTGAGACACATGCTTGCCTTTAACACGCTAATGTTGCTACTTCTACTTTTTACTACTTGTTTACAATTACTTTTTACCTAACAACTGCAGTTACCTAACTACTAAATGTGAAGGTACTTTTGTTCACAGGAAAAATTTACGTGCTACGGAATACTTAAGTAACAATTAAACAAAGTTAATTTTTTATGTTTAAAAATCATACCATTTTGATTTATTTCACGCCCGTTACCATCATTAATTCTATTACTATTAGTTTTCATTATTTCTATGTGCTCATACAGTTGATGTTTATACATATTATTTTCAGATTTTACAACTTTTACTGTAAGTAAATGTATTTCACAGCCTTTACTTTTACAATGTTTGGACATTGCAGAATTTTGAGACTCCAGTCGCCAAACATTGTAATAGTAAGGTATGAAATCAGTATATGGAGCCGTCAATAAATGACATCCCTTTGTCCGATATGTCCGTTATATTTCATTAAACGTTGCAGTTTCTAAATTTTATTATTCATAATGTAATAAATATTTTGAGGGGGATTGAGTCTTGTTGAGAAGGAGAACAAACAACTTGAACAAACTGGGACAATGAGAGAGGGGATTAAATTTCAAGAAAAATGCGGAGGAAATTTATAGATAGCCTCTGTGGCTGTGACAGTATGATCTGTTCCCAAGGTTTTTTCTTCCTTTCTTGTATTTAATTTTGTCAAATAGTAGGGATTTTTTGTTTGTTTGCTATAATTTGTTTCATAAAGTATGAAATTTAAAATTTACTTTATGAAGAGTATTAAAACTTCTATCAAAATTATGATTGAAAATATTGCTATCAGTAATAGTAACTAGGTAGCCAGTTAATTAAAACTAAATATAATAAAATAATAATTAAAACTCTAGAGTCTAGCCTTTACATCAAAATCGAAACCGAAACTAAAACTATAATCAAAATTAATTAATTAAAATTTAAATTCAAATCAAAGCAATTTAAACATAATATAGAAGAAAAAGTTTCTTTAGATAAGTAGTACTGTAGGTATTTTTAAGCTAATGATGACAATAATCGAATTCTTATTACGATAAATGAAGTAAATTAATCTGTTTTAGCTTAAACGTTGTTGACTTTCTAATTCTGATAACATTAAACAATTGATAATTAAAGAAACCATAATTCAGCAAATGAAAAACAGGATAAATGGTTTAGCAATAAATAATTGAAAACTAATTAAGCTAAAAATTGAAAATAAACATACGGTTCGAAATTAGGAAAAGCGGTTGTGTACCTAAAAATGTATTTAAAAACTTTAAATTTAAACTGTTGATGCAGAAAATTGCAATAAAGCACTCTTATTTAAAAAAAAAAACTCCCTACAGAAATTACCTGCTGCTTCTCTCGATAACTTCATCCTTCACTTTGATGCTCACGTTAAAATGTGTTTTCTACGTATAAAAAAACATATCATAATCAATTTTTAGGATAGAATAAGAGAAAATAACACGAATAAAACTCTTTTCCTATCACAATAAGCTACATGAATAACAAATGCTAGGAGAAACGTATAAAAAACTCGCATTTAAAGATTTATCTTAATAATCAATAAAGATATTAACTGCATCAATTAATGTGTATTATTTACTCTTTCGGTCATGTTTAGATAATATGAAAACTAAACTGTCGGTGCAGAAAATTGTAATGAAACAATTAAACAAGTTTCCAAAACAAACGAAGAATCTCTATTCTTTACTTCAGTGATGCTTCATCCTCCTTATCACAGCTACATTTCTCTTTACAGATTTCAATAACGAAAAGAAAAATAAAACATGTAATTTTCTATAAAAATTTATATAAATTTTTAAGTTATTTTACTTAAAAGAGCGAAAAGAAACTTATAAAAATTACATACATCNAAAACGGAAAAATCAACAGTATTATAGGGGGATCGACTGTATTTTAACATATTTAATTAAAATTTGATTGTTTTTATTATTTATTACTTATTTATTTAAATATCTCTGGTGATATTTATGTAAGAATTTTTTCAATTGGAATTCCACTATCTCTTTCTAATTGCCGGTCCCCTGTAATTCTGGCTTCACGTTAGAGTTGTTCTGTATTGACGGATAGTTTTTTTCTTGCGAAAAGCACGCATGAAGAATTAATGATGATAAATATCCATCAGTATCATCATTTTAAAGAACTTAACTACAATAAAAAACTTGATAAAGCTCAATTATCGATATACAGTATTTAATATTCAACGAGCACAAACATGCCCAATTATATTAGATCCTTCTATTTATTTTGAAGTTTGTTCTGTTATGTACTTAAAAAACATTTTTTTAAAACTTTTATTCAATATTTTACATTTAATAAAAAATAATAATTAACAATGACAAGAATAAGTTAGAAAAAATTATCTAATTAAAAACGTACTAATTAAATACGTTTTACTCACTTAATAACTCACGTACTAATTAAAATACGTTTTATTCACTAATATCGTTTATTTGCATCTCATCTTTATACATTTTAAAGTACAGATATCGCAGAATAAATATTTCAACATAAGTTATCTACGTAATTATTTCAATACAATATCTTTAATTTAAAAAAAAATTTAGAATTCTTAAAAAAACCGAATTTTTATAGAAAATAATGATAAACATTTATTTAAAAAGTTATAAAAGACAAATTAGTAATGAAACATATATTTCATAATCATGTTGTTAGGAGATGGATGAATTTTTAATTTGATTCAACCCTTATAATTTAAGTATTAAACTCGTTTAAATATTGTTTATTTTAAAGGATTTTTATGCTAATTAGAGGGAAGTTTTTCCTATTAGTATGCATTAGACTACCTATTTAAAACTTAGCAAATGGTTAAGTAGTGATTCAAAAAGGACTCTTCAACTTTTAAATAATGTAAAATTTTAATCAGAAGACTCGCAGAATCGGTTGAAACGTTAATTTATAGAAAAGCACTTCATGTTCTATCTCGAACGGTCATTTTGGTTCGATGGGATGTTGCCGCCATTGATGTCTGCAACATCCATTCCAATTCAATTTCTTGTCAAACTCGAAGTAGCATATATGTTGCCACTTCGGCAACTGCGACGATGAATCTAGTTTGAATTCAGAGTGATTTGCGAAAAAAGTGTAATAAACACTAGATCTTTAATTAAACCCAAAAGAAAATCTTGAATTGATGGATTGGTCGAGAGACCGATAACGTGGGCCATCTCGTTCCTAGGTTTGACACCTCTCGATTTTTTTCTTCTCGGATTTCATTAAAAATCTAGTGTTTATTCCACTTTTTCCTGCGAATTTGACAGCTCAAAAGTCGAATTTCCGTTGCAGTTGTTGGAGCGACAATATTATGATGGTTCGAAATACTTGATGCGTTTTACTATAAATGAACGCATCGTCTGATTCTGAAAAGCTTTCGATTAAAATTCTATATACTTTCAAAGTTTAAACTCACCTTGTATAAACGTACATAGAATAGTATAATGATCTGTATACAATGGTCTATAATAATGTAAGAACAACAGAACACAACTAATAAAACTGTTGCAGATACAAATAAACATTCATTTCATATTCACGCATAATAAACAATTCTCTCTCATAAAAATTATCTTTATATCAATCTTTATAGCTCGTTCAGCATGGATCAATGATTAAGAAAATAAAAAAAACACAAAAAAAAACAAAAAATTAAAACAAATTTATATGAAACTTAATGATTTATATGAAAAAAAAAATCAATTAGCAAATAATTTTGCAATTAGTTTTGTATATATAATATAATTTATTCCAACATTATTTTAAAATAAAATGGCAATCAGTAATAATTTAATATTTCGAAATTTGCTGATTAATTATATATTAATATATATAATTGAAATTTATAAGTTTAAATTATATTTAAAAAAATCACATTCAAATTCATTAATTAAATCCTATTACAAGGTTATTACAAGTAATTTATAATTAAAAAATTTTATTATCTTGGGAAAATGTTTTATCGTAACGATAAGAAAAATTTTAATATTTATCAATAAATAATAAATTCGGTGTTTAGCAAATAAGATTTTATTTCTAAGAATACAACTATTTTAGACATTTACCTCTTAAAAATATTTTAAAAATCTGATATTTAATTTCCTTTAATTTGTTTGAAAATATTAATTTTTAATTTAAATATATTTTATTTTCATTTAAATTATTACACATAAATTTAGATTTAATTACATAAAATTAAAAAGTTTAAAATACAGTATTTTATTGAATCGAATTAAAAATAAACTTTTTATAAGAAGAATTCATCGATATAAAAATATAATATAAATAAATACTTACATTAATAGAATATTGGGATTTTTTCCGGAACCATCTGCTTACATTCTTCATGTTTATTGCTCTTTAACAGCTTCTACTTGGCTTTTGTATGCCGTCGAATTTCTTCTTATGACGACATAATATCAATCCTAGCGGAAAGAAAAATTGCGTAAAGTTGTGTACATTCGACTGTATCTTTACTTAAATGGAGAGAGAGAGAGAGAGAGAGAAAAAGAAGCTTGTACATTCGTTACAACAAGGTCAAAATTACTTCTAATATATAAGAATGATTAAGTATCATTTACAGAATTTAATAAATTAATAAATATTATATCAATAAAATAGCATTAAATTTTATTTTACAATCAACGTGACTTTCCTTAATCATTTATATATATTTACAATGTTAAAAAAAAATACATATATATTTGTAATAGGCCTCTTAACAACGACCACTAACGGGAACATAAAAATTGTCGTTATTTAGAGGTTTTTTTGGTGTGTATTTTTAATCGAAAGTAAAAAGTTTGCGAAAAAAAACGGCCTCTGTTTAGAGGTGGCCGTTATTGGAGATTCGACTGTATAATGTAATAATTTATTGAGTTTTTAATAAATAATATTGTTAATTTTTTCTTAATAATACGATAAAGTTTTATAAATAAATTATTAAATTTTATAGCGTCACTCTTGGAAATTCTGGTTTATTTCATGGTAGTTGAATTAATATATATTCTATTGATATCATTGAAAAATAAATAATAGCTATAGATGAAATCATTCTATAGAATGGAAATGATTAATCTTTGAAAGTTAAATTGCAATATTTCCACTTTATTGCTTTAGCTTTCATTATTGTTAATGTCACACGTCCTTCGAATTTATCTGTTTGCTTTACAATAAATGAAATTATACATTTTATAAAATAGATTTATCTCTAATATTCTCATTTATATCAAATAATGAAAATTATCCTAAAGCGTGACTATTCTAAAATAGATTTGAATGTATGGTACGTCATTATTTTAAATATTTTAAACGAATAAATTCAATATGCGTAACAAATCTATATAAATTAATATTCGATTATTATAGTGCAACGTACATGCACATAATTACAATAAAAATTATAATTTGTGAGACTGACAATCATTTATTAATTTAATTAATCCTAATACTGAATCAGGAATGGTGCTAGATCATAGGTTAACACGAAAGAGAAAAAACTATTTCCTCCAAATGAGATAGAATGATATTATGATTTATAATTTAATTTCTTTATAATTATATATAAAATCATGAATATTTTTTATTCTTCCCTTAAATTTGCCCCGGGATTTCGACCCTGAGCCAAATTCATTCGACTGGATCTAAAGTTATAAAATGTAGGATGGAGACTGAAACGACATCATTCGCCTTTACACAGCAGAATTACGTCCTGATGTAATACTTGTGTAAAACAAATGGTCTGTTCTTTCTACATTATACCTCGATGCAGTACTTCGCCTCGATTTATTTACAAGTCTATTGAGAGGGAGAGGAAACTGGGGATTTTTCCCCGGACCCGGAGAAAACTTAGGAATCCGCAGTGGTTCCTATTCCTATAAAATTATTATTATTTTTACTAACAGGAAATAAAAGCTTTACGACTGCTTTTTTTATTAAGTTAATAAAGAAACATTTTTTGTATTTCATTTATTCAAACAAAGATTTAAAAAAGGCTAAAGATGCCTGCTTTACTACCAGTCCCCATACATGCTCTCGACGGCCCTGTCTGTACAATAAATAAATCAATTTTAACATTGAAAGATGCTGGCAGTTTTACGAAACAGATCCTCCTGTAATCGCGACATTTACATTTGCGAGTTTAATACTTCAGTTAATAATAATAAATCATGACTGTATTCGTACACTATTCTATGGTATTTTTGTTTACACATTATTTTACAGTGATATATTTTCTTTATTGACTACTGTATGCATGTATTTCTTTATCCTCAATGGTTAAAAATTTTATGGGTTTTATATTATATTATTTAACGATTTTATTTTGCATTGTTATGCTTCTATTTATGTTTAAGTTTGTTCGGCCAAGTTTCAAGTTTTTCTGATCCAATTTATTTATACAAATTTTTAGCTTCAATAATCGTTTTAACCAGAAATATAGCATTGTGTATTATTTTAATAACTACACTTATTAATACATTTATCATAATCATTATAAAAATTAAAGGAAATACTGCCCAACATTATTAATACAATGTATTAATAATGTTGGGCAGTATTTCCTTTTTAATTTTTCATATCACAGACACGAACATATTCGTCCTTCAAGATTTTAATGGGAATTGTTATTTTAGACACCACTCTGAAATCGATTGTGATTTACGGAATTTCACTTACTTAATCAAAATTTGAAAAAATATGCCGTAAGCATTAGGTCCCACGGGCTCGAATAAACCCATACCCGAAACGGATTTAAAAAACATAAATTCACAATAGTTCTATTCTTCTTAAAACGTATATAGTTATGTCTATTATATATTATCATTAAAAGTAATGAAAAAAAAAAATTAAGTCGGTCTGGAAATACGAACACTTTCAAAGCGTGGGTTTAGGTTTCAATATTTCTCAAAATATATTCATTTGGACTATTAAAAATTAAATTAAGCTTAAAAATATCTCCCGATCTTGAAATTTTTCGTGAAAAATAAATACAAACTGTAGCATGAAAAAATGATCGAATCAATATATGACACTAGTAAATTTATGCAAAACAAATGAAAGAATTCACCCGCTAACTTCCTATTGAATGATGAAACGAAAAATTTCGTTAACGAATGCGAAAGATGAATGTCATATTTAATTTATTTCCCATTATAGAAGTTTTGTACAGATCGAATAGGACTATATCAGCTTATTCGTTCATAAAAAACTTCGGAATTAAGAGAAGAAATCTGGGACTAATTTTTGTCAATTCCTGTAGTTTCAATGCATCTCTTTTTCAGAATATTGTGTAAAATATGAAAAGAAGAATCAATCTGAAAAAGAACCGCTAATTCACTCTTTGATTCAGATATTTTATTTTTTAAGTTATGGTAGAGTAACTTTTAACAGTTTATGTACAAATTAAGTGATAAAATATTCATTATTTCTGAGATTTTTAGCAGAAATATAAATTTTAGAAAAAAAATATTGAATTCTTGTTTTGTGAGACTTTTACATTATTTTTAAATTTGAAACATAGAATAAACTTTCATATTAAAATTAAACGTTGAAATTTTTCATTTCAGTAATAAGATAGAACTTAAAAAATTTTACTATTATTAATTTAAGAAGAAATGTTTTTAAAAATAAACAAACAATAAGCGTATAAAATTATACTTTACATTAGTAACCATATTTTTAAAAGTTTATTATAAAATTTATTAATTGCTATCATCAAACCTGCATCGGAAGGACAGCATAAGGTATTTTTTTTTAATTGGTATTTTGTTTGAAAACAGAATAAATACAAAATTTTAAACATACTTAAATAAAATTTAATCCGGATTAAGTTTTATTAAAATATATAAGTAGAACTTGGACATCCAGGCACTAAAACTCGTGTTATAATTAATATCTCATATTAGCCATAACTTGTATGATTTTAGTGCCTAGATGTCCTAGCTCTAATCATTCAACGTATCAAATTTTAAGGATGTTTGTCCTTTAATTGTTATGTCAAACTTAGATAAGACCCATAGCTACTGGAGGCTATGAGATGGCTAAGCTCTCTCAGCTTAGTCAGTAGTGCCCATATGCAGTGTATATATTATATATGCTTTCGCTTTGGTCGCGTAAACTTAGTCTACTGTTACTAATTTTTACACTTAAACTGTAGCTTTTCAATATATGTATGAACTGAAAATGAAATTTTGTTTTAATGGAGTTTTAATGCATAATCAGCACTCATCTTACCTTATCTACAGGCTGATCATAATTGATGTTCAGAGCTGTCTGTAGAAAGAACTATTGGGCAAATCTCGATTGGAGCCATATTCAGACATTGGAAGCGTGGAGGTTGATTTTTTCGACTGATGGTATCGATAGTTCATATAAAGTATCAGTCAAGAAAAACGTAAAAACTTCTTTTGAATATATTTAACAAAAACTAAATCACTGGATTATGGATGAAAAGTTCGTGTTTATTAATTTTTTACGGCTTTCATTCGTTACTTTGGAGTGATTTTACTATTTATTTATCATAGCCTAGAAACTCAATTCCTATATACTGTATTTTGGTGCAAGAAATGATAAAATCAATCTTTTTAAGTTATACATTTTTAAAGAAATTCAATGATAATAATATGTTTACTGTCTTTCAAGCAATAGAAAATCTATTCTAATTTTGGAAAAATACTGAAGTTGATGTTTTTATCAACTACTAGATGAGATCCAAACAACTGATTGTTTATATGGTACTTACAGCAGATATAATCATCATCACTATAAAAATTTTATTTTTAGAAAATATATGCAAACATTGGCACATTTATCAACATTAATGGAATTCTAATTATATATTTTTATAATTAATAAATCTTACAAGTGCCAAATGAATTTATTCAATGTCAGATAGATTTTTGTTCCAGAAGAAATATATTCTTGTTTATATAATTAATACATTAACTAAATTATATGAGTTTACTTCACTGAAGAAAAATAAATTTTTAAATATCAAAAATTTTAAAGATTATTTTTATTTACATTTGTATCAATATTTTATTTTAATAGACATTAAACAGATCTTCATAAAAATATTAGTCAGTTTATCAAACTCTGAACTTTGTAATATATTCAAGAATTATCAATTTAAAATTTCTAAATTTATTAGGTAATTTTCATTCGAAATGCATTATATTTTCTTTGATTAGTTATTAAATAAACCTTTCAGAAGTATTTATAGTTTTATCAAAATACTTTGATTTTATGTTTAAAATGTAAGAAAAATTACATTACAACAGAAAATAATTTTGGTATTTTAAAATTCCATTTATCTTCTTTATTATTTTTTCTTTTAAAATTAAATCTCAAAATAAACTATTACATTAATGTAAGTTCAACAATTTATTTTACTATCTTATAAGCAATATTGGTCAATATTATAACAAATTTATCTTTTATAGAACATTCCTTTTTGCTTTTATTTTTATTATATAAAAAAAGAACTGAAGAAATCTAATAATTCTTTTTCTCTATATACAGAAAATTTTAATCCTAAATTTTATATTGTAAAAAATACCATCTTATAAGCATTCTAAGTAAGTACTATATTAATCATCCCAGACATCTCCATAAGGATTTGTTGTACCTCCTGAAAAATATTGAACAACAACACTTCAGTAATATTTTAATTATCATTTTAATATATTTTAACTAAATATATTACAAATAAATTAGCATAAAAGTGAAATTATATCATTAATAATTAATAGTAATTGGCTTATTATTTGCCAGAAGTTTCAAAAATAATTCATATATTAATTACATTCCTAATATATTTTTATATATTAATTAAATATGTATTAATACTCATATTTAATATAACATATCCTGAATAAACATATTGTAATGATGTTAAAAATTTTCAACATGACAAACAAACAAAAAGAAATTCATGGATAACTATTAATTTCTTTTTGCATCTCATTAATCTTAAAAATTCCTAGCTTTTAATTAATTCTTGTTAACTAAAAACTACAATATTTAAAATAAAATGAAAGAATATTTTTAAGAACAGCTAATGTGAAATCTGATATTTGATAAGTAATATTTTATCATCTTTTGAATAATTTCCTTATCCTCTTAAGGCTGTCCAATAATTACATGTACAGTTTCTTAGTCACTTTTGACCCCCTCCCACTCTTTTGTGTACAATAGTATACTTTTGGCAAACCCACTTTAATTGCATATACAATTGTTCATGGACCCTCATGACATTAAAAAGTTATACAAATATTTTATAACCAACAGTTTATTCATGACTAGTAAGTAAGCTTATAAGAACAAATTTGTATGCCACTAACAGCATTACAAAAGCCTATGTAGACAATGCCCAACATCCTCCCTCCCCATCTTGTACAATGATATACTTTTCACAACTTCCTTCTCCCTTAAACTGTGCAGGTAGTTAATGGAAGATTCCTTAACACACTGAAATTTAATATTTTCAAGAAAAAAAGTTTTAAAAATCTATTAAATATTTAAAATATTTTCTAGAATCTATTTTGAACATGGCAAGCTTAGTCTAATATATTAACAAAGATGAAAATGAAATTTTGTTTTAATGGAGTTTTAATGCATAATCAGCACTCATCTTACCTTATCTACATGCTGATCATAATTGATGTTCAGAGCTGTCTGTAGAAAGAACTATTGGGCAAATCTCGATTGGAGCCATATTCAGACATTGGAAGCGTGGAGGTTGATTTTTTCGACTGATGGTATCGATAGTTCATATAAAGTATCAGTCAAGAAAAACGTAAAAACTTCTTTTGAATATATTTAACAAAAACTAAATCACTGGATTATGGATGAAAAGTTCGTGTTTATTAATTTTTTACGGCTTTCATTCGTTACTTTGGAGTGATTTTACTATTTATTTATCATAGCCTAGAAACTCAATTCCTATATACTGTATTTTGGTGCAAGAAATGATAAAATCAATCTTTTTAAGTTATACATTTTTAAAGAAATTCAATGATAATAATATGTTTACTGTCTTTCAAGCAATAGAAAATCTATTCTAATTTTGGAAAAATACTGAAGTTGATGTTTTTATCAACTACTAGATGAGATCCAAACAACTGATTGTTTATATGGTACTTACAGCAGATATAATCATCATCACTATAAAAATTTTATTTTTAGAAAATATATGCAAACATTGGCACATTTATCAACATTAATGGAATTCTAATTATATATTTTTATAATTAATAAATCTTACAAGTGCCAAATGAATTTATTCAATGTCAGATAGATTTTTGTTCCAGAAGAAATATATTCTTGTTTATATAATTAATACATTAACTAAATTATATGAGTTTACTTCACTGAAGNAAAATGTTCAAAATGTTGAACAGTATTGTGTATAAAGTAAAAATAATGATTCTGTAATAAAGTACGCATATTTAATCTTCCACTAACAACATTTAGGTATTTTAGAATATAGACAATAAAAAGGTAATAATGCAAAAACTTTTTTAATAATTAAATTCTCATAGCCTAAATATATACACAATTTGGTAGTAACATTTTCATTATACTAAATATGCATACTTGCAAACATATTGGAAATAATATTTAATCATTGTTTCAATATAATTATTAATAAATTGTGTGTATGTGTGTGTACAGTCGACCCCCTATAACACGGTAGATACATTCCTGTTTTTATGAATCCCTTTTCTACAAGTCCAGCCAATCACAGCCCGGCACATATGCAATTTATGGACTATGGCTGTTTGAAAGGTTTCTTCCATAAAATTAATCGATTCTAGACTAATTCGACTCAACATTTCCAAAATATGTATAATTTTTTGGCAATAATCCATATAAACTATGCTATAAACAAAAAATTGTAGGATTACTTACCTAGTGTGCACCGTTCGACAACGCCATTGCTTAAGCTTGTTTTCGTCGCGGAGCAGCGCATCAAACGGCACTCGTGTGCTTCCTGATAAATTATTTTTTAGCGAAAACTTTGTTGAACTTTGGAGACATCACTAATAAATATAATTTTTATGAACATTAAATAATAAATGGTTTTTAGTAGGTCTGCTGCTCATTTAAACTCAATGGTTTGTGCAATATCTGCTATTGGTCTAGATTCGGCCAATCCTGTTGTGACACAAGTTGGCGATGACGTTTTACCAAATTATAGGAGTTTTTTTAGCATGTTTGTACAAATACTGTCGCAATTTTTTTGCTGTGATATAGGAATCCGAACTATAGGAACCCGTGTTATAGGGAGATCGACTGTATTCATAAATCTGTAAATTTATCCATTTTTAACTACAAATAAAATTTATGCGGTATAAATTTGATACAGTAATGAGATATATGAAACAATGTTACTATTACAGTTTTGGAGCTGGAGTCAAAGCCATATATTTTTGATACAATATTTGGTTCCAGTTTCAGATCTTCTTTTAGGCTTCAGTGTTAATTTCTTTAGATATTCACTAGACTTCATAAATTTTTTTTAAATTTATGAAGCAAAACTTCTCTAACAACTTATAACATTAATTGTAGCATGTATACCATACACACTACAGTATGCCACTATCAGGAATATATTCCTGACACATTCAGAATTAAACAATTATGTAGTATTGCAAGCCAAAACAAAAGGTCAGCTTGATAAGAATGATTTTTTCTACATTTTTTATGGTTGCTGTAATTGTCAATGCTGTAATTACTCTACAAACATCCACACACTACTCTCCAGCCTCCATGAAAAGAATTATCATCTGTAATCATTTTATTCTAATTACAACAATTCTTCAGACTGGAGTGTAAGTATACAGTACTAAAATACCTTACAGACCAATAAACCCCAGTAAATAATCAGAAGGACTAACACTTTCAATCCTTTCCACAGATCTTAAAGTCAAAGGTTTTAAATCTGAATGATTTTTGAATACTCAATCCAAACAAAAACATAGATGTAAAAAAATTGTGAAAAGTAAAAACTTGCGACAATTTAAACAACAGTCAAAATAGTTCTTAGTAGTTTTTCTTTGATAAAGATAAGCTAGGCACTTCAAAATGTTACCCACAAGATTTTTACCTGTATTATTCTTTTCTACATTTTGTTTCAAAGCATCAAGCTCATCTTTACCAAAGAGAAACTCCTAAGAAAAGTTTTTACTGTTGTCTAAATTTTCATAAGTTTTACTTGGCACAATTATTTTACATCTCAGATGTTTTTGTTTAGATAGCAATTGTTTTTTGTTTAATATTTGTATTATTACACTGACATAAGATCAGTCGGTGCTTGGTGACTGCCAACTGAATGTGTCACTGACCAAATGCACTGCCAATGCATTTAAACATTACTGCATTTTTGAATATGTTCCATTTTTTGAATGTGTTTATATCTTTAAATTTGGTTCAAGACATTGATAGCATAAAAAAAATAATAATAATCGATAACATGCATTAATGTCTCTAAATAAATTGCCAAAAGCCTTTTTTATAGAATATTCTCTGAATAATTTGGCTTTATAATGTTTTTATATTTGCAGTTTTAAAGTAGTATGTGTTATTGAGATGCAATTTGAAAAAATTGTAGACCTATAATTTTCCACTGTCGTCTGCCCATCTGTCTGTCTTTCCTTAATCTCAAAAACGGAGTTAGATATATGAAAGACAAGACCAGATATGAAAATCTTAGGGACAGCTGATTAGCTATATGTGAACTTCCAATGCAAACTGGAAGTCATGTTGTTTCAATTCAAAAATTTTCTCCTGAAGTGTTAGATGACCAGCACAAATGTATTGTTAAAGGTAAAGTATAATGCACAGGGGCAAGTCACTACTAATTTGAGATGGAGAGAATATATTTGAAATTAAATAAATTAAAAATATGATTAAAAATTGCAGCTCAGCATTGTGACAATGTCACAATAAATAATCGCTTGTCAATTATTATTATTTTTTATGCTATCGAGCCTCACACTGAATTAGGAATTTATAAATGCATTCAAACAACAGAACATAATCAAAAATGCAATATTTGAAATGCATTAATCGCAATAATATTTGAAAAGCATTCCAATTCAACACCTTTGACCTGAAGATTTGAGGAAAGATCAAAAATGTTAATCCTTCTGTCCATGATTATTTACTGAAGATTTTTTTGGTTCTGCAAGGCATTTTACAAAGTTTTGCATAAAACGATTACAGTATTAAAATATACTGTAATCATTTTATGCAAAACTTTACTACTTTCAGCTCCAGATTCTAATGCATGCTTTGGTCCTTTTATAAAACAGTGAGAAAACAATTTCTGTTTATTAGTATTAGATATTTTATATATTAACACTTTTAATTGACATCTTAATTGCAATTAATATTCTAATTTCTATAATTTACACATCTCTTTTCCACAAGTCTGGTACTTGCAAAACTTTGCACCTGCCATGCTGTCTCAATGGTGGCAATCTGCCAGCTGTATAGACATAATTTTGAAATAAAATAAATATTATAGTGTTGTAAATGCAATGTTTGACTGATGCCTATATAAAATACTAGACTGGATTAAACTCTAAAAAAAGCTACTAAAAATAATTAGTTTATCATGTTTAAAAGCTATCAGCATAATATTTATGCTTAAAAGGTTCTTGATTAGATGATGTTCTGTAATATGATTCTAATGATGTGATTATAATCTAACTTTCTATATTTTTATGTATGTGGTATAATATCTGCAGAAGAGATAACTATAGAAACATTCATAATAAATATGTTATCCATTTCATAAAATTAAAAATTCTGTAACAGATACTACAAGATCAGATAACAGATCAGTGAAGATATTTTTAGTATGTTACAAAATTTTTAATTTTATTAAATTGTAATTTTGCCAGCCCTTTTTACAAAAGAATATGTTATCCAGTTCTAGACATTCATTAACTACATTATTCTGATTAGTAGTAAACATTCTTGAATTAGTATTGCATTATTTAGCAAATGTTTTAATAATAAATGAATAAATGACTTAAAAAATGAATTATTGCACATTTACAAAGATATATATATATCTTTGTAAATGTGCAATAATTCATTAAAATTATATATTTTCAATTTAAAATCCAAATAGTTAATTAGATTTGGTATTATTGATAATTACACAGGGTAACTCTCAGCTAAATCATTCAAATATCTTTTTCAATCTCTACAAAACAAAGAAATTGACAAAATTCAATATATCAATTCAGTGTTTGAAGAAAATTTCTTAAAATTATTCATTGTAAACTGAGCACTGTTTCCTTATTTATGTCTTGTAAAGATAAGAAAAACAACCATCAGCCATTTAAGGAAATAATACTGCACATAGTTATCACAAATATGAATTCATCTCAATCTTAATAATATATTAATTGATTTTAATAATCATAAATTAATAATTAGATAATAATTGTGTATAATAGTATACCAGTAATTAAAATTATTCATTAATGTAATTAAGATAATGTGTAATTATAATTATTCATTTATATTAAACTTTTTCAGATAATGAATAATAATCTTAAAACAAATATACAATAGAAATTTAATCATACTTATTTATAAATTATTTCTGCTTAACAATTATCAGTAATAAACAAAATCAAAAATTTTTTACCAGAACTTTTACTGGGTGTTGTTTGTTTAGATTGCCTAGATGTTTCTGAAGAATGTTCCCAAACTGATTGTGTTGAAGGTTGTGTTTTATAACTTGAGTAACTGGTTCCAGGAGTTTGTACTGATTCTCTATTTTTCTTTCTTAATTCTTCATATGATGTGAATGTTCGTGAAGGTTGGCTTTCTTCAGATGGCAATGGCTTTGTTACATCTGAAGTTTTATAAAAATATAATTTCATATAGTAATTCTTCATATAACTTAATATAATATGATATACATACATACATATACGAAGTAGAACGTATCAATTTTGCATCTGATAGACCATTATTTATTTTGAGAAATTTGTTTTATTTGTTATACAATAAACATACTGTATATAAGATTATACAATAAAGTTTTGCTACTATTAATTATTATAATTAATAGTGTAATAATATAATATAATACAATAGTATAATAGTATCATTTTAATTGTACTTCAAATTTAATTTAAATTCATTTTAATTGTACTTCAAATTAAATTAAATTTAATTTGAAGTACAATTTAAATTTAAATTTAAATTGTACTTCAATTTAAATAGTACAATTTAAATTTAAATTTAAATTGTACTTCAAATTTAATTTAAAAAATCAAATTTAATTTAAATTTAATTTAATTTAAATTTTAAACCTTTGAAAGTGTTGATAGTTAATGACCAAGTGCTGTAAGGGCTCGGTTAATGTTCTTTCAAATTTATTCTGATTTCAAAATACTTGTAAAATTATGAATACACGAATAGTGAATAAGAATGAAATCTGAAATTTCTTTTAATGTTCTGTCATAAGTTTAAAAGGCATCAAAGACATAATGCTTATCTATATATATATAACCCATTGAACAGGTATCCGTCTGTCCACGTAACGGTATGACAAAAACGGGCACTAGAGGTGCCCTAGCGTAGATTTTAAATTAACAATAAATTATTTTTATTTGTAATAGATATTTATTATTTATTCCATGGAATGCTATAAATAATTATTATATGCCTTGTCTTGCCTTATTATATGCCTTGATTAACCTTGCGCCGCACATTTACAACATCCCGAACGTCGTGCATTGACTCACGGGAAATTTGTTGAAAAAATGGCGGATATGTTTAAAATTGAGGTTTATAAGCGAAGGTAAATAAACAAATTAAACTATTTTAAAGTTTTTATAGAATGTTTAATAGGTAGAAATATAGATTCGTATGACGCAATTGGGACGGTAAGATTTATCCTCCAAATGAAGGGATGGCAACCACTCCCCTTTGTGTGAACAATAAATGTCTAATGAACCATACCACTAAGCGTGACCCTTCCCGAGATATAGCCTTCCGAAAATTATTGTATGGGTCACATGACCTCCTGTTTGACAATTTACCCTGCAAATGAGCAGGTCGGCGACTCCCAAGTGTGCACGAGCGCGCGTTAGTTTTTTTCGCAAGGTAGACTCCCTTTTGACCACGATGTCACGTGACCAGAAATGATGTAGGCTAATTTTCAGGGGTTTATCTCGCAAAGGGTCGCTCGTAGGTTATGGTTCCTTTGACTTTATTGTTCGCACAGGGGGCTACAGTTTGGGGGGGTCACCACCCCTTCATTCGGAGGGTAAATCTTACCATTAGGACTTTATTAACAGAGCTGTAGAGCATATTGATAGGAACAAAAAAGTCAAAGGAACGTACCTGATGGAAATTTGTAAAGAACGCCCACTAGGGGGCGTCCCGGGCTACTAGTTATTAATATCATTAAATATTAATATATTTTCAAATATTTTAGATGGAATTACTTATTTGTTCAATAATTTTTTCTTTCTTCACTAAACTTTCTTTCTTTGTTTTTAAACTATTCAAGATTTTTAAATTGTTTTCCATATCCTGAACTATTTGTTATTAATTTTGCTTATTTTTTTTTTTTGCACTGACATATTTTTTCAACATTCTATTCAAATGAATCTACAATTAAGAATTTTGTTCATATAATTTTGTAATTTTTTATAATCAAGAGCATCTGCAGAAAATTGTCCACAGCATGTCAAAGCTTGGAGAGAAATAATTACATCAATAAATTTTTATCTAATTTTTGGGGTTTTTTTCAATGAGTAGATTATAGACTATAATCATGATTGAGGATGTACAGATACATATCTCAATCAATTTTTCAATTATAATTTGTGAAATATTTTACCCTATTCTAAGGAAGAAAGTGCTCTGTTCGCTCCCCTCTGAGAACACTTTGTATATAATTTAAATACAAATCCAATGTATTTAACTAAAAATATGCAAAGAATTGTGAAAAATTTTCAAATGGCAACAAAATATTTTAACTCCATTTATCGAGCAACATTAACACCACATGATGTAATGAATTCTGAAGGTTTTGAATGTTTTATTCTTTCAAGTGTTGTTCCTTCAAAAGCTTACTATAATTTAAATTATAATAGATCCCTGACTTTACAATATTACTCCATTTCATAAACCCTTTGCTATCATAAAAATATTGTAATGCAAACAAAAATAATACAGTGTTTTGATAATTCATTCAAAGAACATGGAAGCTGAGACATATGCCATAAAATTTTGATAATGAAATTTTTTATTATAGAGATTCCATAAAGTGGTTTGATCATATGATGAACAAACTGTAAAGCATATGTCTATTGTAATTTTGTAATTAGATAAATATTTGTACATACCGTCAACTGATGGTTGGTAAGTACTATCTAATCCAGAAGGTGGAGTAGCTTTATTTGGATATAAATCTATAGATTTAGGACTTTGAAAATCTAATGATGACTGTTGATCTTTAACATCATCTGAAACTTTATATTCTTGCAATTGTGTTGTAAATCTGAAAACATAATTAATTCATTATTATTACAAATGATTTAATCAATGGATTATACAGTAAAACAAATCAAAACATAAAATTTTTTTTATTAATAATTTATTTATTAGCATTTACC